AGATTGGCACAGGATAGAGCAGGGTTTAGGGCTGTTGTACATAGGGTCGCTATGAGTCGCAAACGACTCGACGGCACATAACAACAACAACAACAACAAGCAGTTTATAAATAGCTAACGATCTTCCTAACAAAATACTCTCAAGGGACCACAGTAAAAATATTTAACTCTTCATGGTCAAAAATCTTCAAGTCTACTGAAATAGTACAAACCTATTCTGGAATATGCTCAGATTTATCTGTACCATGCCACTCTCCAAAAAGAAAACATTTTCAAATAATATTTCTCCACAATCGTTTTCTATTAGAGCTTTAAAACAAAAGAGAATATTTTTAAAAATTTTCAGTAATTAAAATACCTCATTAAAAAAGTAAGTAAATAAATAAATAAATACCTCATATATAATTCTTTGCACAAGGTCAAATTCTCCTTCCAAAGACGAATCTAGCAATAAAGCAAGGGGGTTGAATTTCACCCTCATTCCATGAGCAATCCGCTCTGAGCCAATTTTGCGTAAGTTTGTCCTTTTGCCCTGTAGAAGAAATACATGGAAAATTAAGGACCCAGTATATGCAGAAGAGAACAGCAGAATCTAGCCTAACATCTAGCTAATTAGAGAGAATTTAAAAAGTATGTCTATTTAGGACATTATAAAGTATAAAGTATTAAAAAATTATATAAATCATGTGCTCAATGAATTTTCATAGAGCACACTCATCTAATAAAGAACTTTAAAAACCCTAATAAAATTTAATTTTAGAAATGCATGTATGTGCACACTTATAAAAATCTAAGCCCATTACCATCAAACCCACCATAATCCTTTTTTGCAAGAAAAAATAGTGGTTTTCATTCATTTACATCATTCTGTTTTATGACATTAGTTCCAACTGCTCTGTGACATCCATTACAGCATCTCATCAATGCTCACTGCGGCCTACCTTCCCCTTCCCCCAGTGCACCCACCACTTATTTTTGCTCCCCTTTCCCTGCTCTCCCATCCCTGCAATCCCATGATTGCTCTGTGTGAAAACCTTTCCTGAGCTTTCTTTTTTCAGTCAATCATGCATATTTTGTTTCATATTGCTAATTACAATATAATGTCTGATCCACATTATCCTTCATTTATTCCAATAAAGTGTTCATTATCTATTAATTTTCTACTCTTCCCCTCTTCTCCCTAACCATACTAAATTGATCCTCTCTGCATATAAACCGTTCTCTAGGTTTTTTCTTCTTTTTGATTTTAGTAACAGTGGTCTTATACAGTGTTTATCCTTTTGTGCTTGAGTTCTTTCACTCAGCAGAATGTCCTCTAGCTTCACCCATGCTGTGTTTTATAAGTAAGGTCAGACTTGATATTACACAACAATATGACAGCTCTTAATTATATAGAGGAAATTCCCTTCTTCTGTTTTGTTAAATTTTAAACAAGAAAGGGTGAATTTTGTTAAATGCCTTTTCTGTATCAGCTGACATGATCGTGTGGTTCTTTGTTCTTTTGATGTGATGGTTTAAAATAATTGCTTTTCTTATGTTGAGCCATGCCTACACACCACCCATCTACCATTTGATCATAATGAATGATTCTTTTGATATGATGTTGGATTCTATTGTCTAGGAACTCTTGAGTATTTCTGTATCTTTGCTGATGAAAGAGACTGGTCTACAAATCTTTTTAACTGGTTTATACACCTGATTTTAGTGAGCTCTGGTGGCCTAGTGCTAAGAAGCTGTGCTGCAATCCCAAAGGCACATGGTTTGAGTCCACCATATTTGATGGGATATAGATGAGCAATTTCTTACTTTGGGATTAACTGCCTCTAAAACCCTGCCAGAAGGTTAGCTATGGGTAAGTTCCAACTCCACAGAACACAATAATACACCTGGTTTTAGTACTGAGTTAGGCTTGCTTCATAAAATCAATGTGGGAGTGATCCATTTTTCCTATATTCTTAAATAATTTAAGGTCAATAGATCTCTGAATATTTGGTAGAATTCACTATTTAAGCTGTTTGTGCTGGCTATTTTTTTATTAAGAGATTTTTATTTTTATGATCTGTTCCATTTCTTCTTTTACATGTTACTTATGTGTTAACTTAGGTAGGGTGTGAGTTTCCAAGAGTTTTTCATTTCCTCTAGATTGTTTTAACTTATAGGAGTATATAGCTCTTTGCATATTTTCTTAACTCCTTTTCCTTTCTGTTGTGACCTCATCCATGTAATTTTTAAAGCTGTTTTTTCTTTATTAGCTTTATCAGTAGTTTGTGAATTTGATCCTTTCAAAGAACCAACTCATGGTTTTATTGATACTTTGAACTATCTTTCTGTTTTTATTTATTTCTCCTCTGATTTTTATTGTCTCCTATCTTCTAGAGTTTGTGTGGGGTTTGCCTGCTTTTTCTCCTGGAGATGCTGATTTAAGGAGCTGGTTTTCATTCTACTTTTGCCGATTTGTCTGTTAATTGCTATAAATTGACCTCTAAGTACTGCTTTAACTATGTCTCAGAGATTGTTGATATGCTGTGTTTTAATTCTCATTTGTTTAAAGAAATATTTTTATTTCATTTATTTCCTCTATTATCCAGTAGTGAAGTAAGGTGGTTCTTAGTTTCCAAGTGCCCGTCTCTTTAACCACATTTTTCCCTCAGCTTATTCCCTCAATCTGTGTCTGACCTTCCTGTAAATAGTTTCCCCCCAAATTTCAGCCTGCAAGGATTACTATCTGTAAAAGCCCTTCCTTGTTTGTTGTTTTTGTTTTTTTTTTAGTATGGCTGAGGGAGAGAGATGGGAGTTCCTGGCCTAAGCAGTCCACCATCCCACAAGAAGTCTCAAGGCTGTAATCTTTACAGAAGGACGCAGCCTCATCTTCCCAGAGCAGCTGGCACCTTCTAACCACCTACCTTTCTTTAGTCATTGAGTGCTTAAGCACTGCACCATCAGGGCTCCTAACTATAACATATTGTTGTTTGTTATAAGCCATGACTAGCACTGATGTGGCAAATTAGCCCAAGAATGATCTTTACAATACTCTTAACTCTTATTTGGTTATTTGGTGCCATCTAAGACTCACAGTGCCCCTGTGAACAGTGGACCAGAACCCTGCCCTATCCTGTGCCATCCTCATCATCTCTGATATACTTGAGCCCATTGTTACAGTCACTGTGTCAATTCACCTTGTTGAGGATCTTCCTCTCTTTCACGGACCCTCCACCTTTCCAAGCATGATGTCCTTTTTTCAAGGATCGACCCCTCCTAACAACATGTCTAAAGTATGTGAGATGAAGTTTCACCATCTTTGCCTCTAAGAAGCACCCTGGTTGTACTTTCCCCAAGACAGATTTAGCAGAGTAAACTCCACACTTTCAAACTGGGCAAGACTTCAATTTAGAATTGCAATAGTGAATATGTATCACTGGTGACTCATTTGCTCCTCACAATAACCCTATTATCTCTATCTTACAGATGAAGGAACTCAGGCACACAGCCAGAAAGTAAGTGGCAGAGCTGGACTCAAATTCCAGGCATCTCAGAAGCCCTCCTTCTTAACCATTTCACTCTAAAATGCCTCTTCAGAGGAAAGCTTATATTTAAGGTAAAAAGTAATTAGTGTGCTTTAGATACACAAACAGACTTCACTCAGCCTTAAAATAGTATCGTTATTTTATATATAAAGGAACTCTGGTGGCCTAGTGGTAAGGAGTTATGCTATCAACACTAAGGTATGAAGTTCAACTTGCTCCAAGGGAGAAAGTTGAGTAATCTGTTTGTGATTTACTGTCTCTGAAAATCTACTTCAGGTCAGCTATGAGTTGGCTCTGACTCAATGGTATCTAACAACATATATATATAAGAACTTTATCTTTGTCAATACAAATGTGTTCTTACACATTATATATTATACAATGTAGATTGTCATCTATTATTTAATAAAATAGACTAAAAAAAACCAAGGCAAAAACTTAAATACTGGCCGGCTCAAACATCCTTATGAAATAGGCTTCTTAAACACACCCAGCAAGTGGGTTACACACTAAGGTGTTACACACCAACACCACATGTCTCTTTCTGATATCTTTTATCTTCAGATACAGAAAACTAAGTGAAAAACATAAAGTGGTACACAATGTAGTTTACAAAGTTTGTAATGGTTACATGTCATTTCTTGAAAGGGGAAATGTAAACTTGACATGACTGTGAAGAGCACAAGGTATAAGAATTCCTGTTATGGCAAGAATTGAGCTGTGGGCGCCTGACGCTTATTCAGAAACAGTTTCTTTAATTCAAGGGTGAGATATAATCGTTATGGCAGTGATGTGGCTTCATGGGGTATTAAAACAAAAGGAAAAAAAATTGCCATGAGAAGTGTGAGGATTTAGAAAGTCAATAAAAAAAAAATGATCTGAAAAAAAAGAATTCCTGTTACAAAAATATGCGAGACAGGGGCATCCTTTATTCTCACAACTGAGAAGGAAAAAGTAAATCATCTTCCCATGAAAGACAAGGGAAAAAAATCTTTTAAAAGTGTGATACTTAAAACAAAAAACAAAAAACAAAAACCCAACTCTGGTTTCTTAAAATGTCTTTCCCCTACCAAACAAGACCAAAAGGGGGAGGGGGGGTGTTAGATATAGTGTGGACTGGTTTTGGCCAATATGGCTTAAAATGTCTTCTCTTCCAGATGAAAGGAACTTTAGAATTTAGAAGGCCCTGAGTTAACAGTGTTAACTTTCATTTTCCTTTTTTCTTACCCTTCCCCCAGGATGCCTTCATCTATATGCATTAATCACAACAAATCATGATGTGAACAGCAGTGGAAATAACTAATCATTGGAACATTTTCCTTTCTTATGTAATCAAGTGTTCACTATATGAATCTTATAAGCAAACATTTACTCCAACCACAAAGTTGAAGGAGTAATTACAATCTTTGAACACCACTACCTCATCTAAAATATGATAAAGGATTATGCAAATAAGCTATACATCTTCCCTAAAAAAACCATTATTTTGATTTTGATAAGGTTTTAAAAATGCATAAACATCCTGCACTTTTCAATGTTCACATAAACATAACCTCTAACACTGAAAACGTGGATTTTTCTTACAGACATTTTTTTTATTTTGTCTCACCTATATATCTAAGAGACACACTAAATTTCTACAGAAAAGTTTAATATTTGGACGAAGTAAGGAAATGCCTAACTCAAAACATTTTTTTCCCTGTAATTATATTTTATTAATTTTCATAAACATTTACAGAGATTTTGGGTTTCCATTCATTCATTGTTGCATTATTCTCTCTACCCTCCTCCCAGTTTGTTCTTGTCCAAATGCCACAGTGCTTGTCAAAGAAAACATTTTTTTTAATAACTTAATTAATGGTTATATACAAAGAAATCTTAGGGACAATGATGCTATCCAGAGATTTCCAAACTATGATGAAGGTGAGGCAGCTCTCATCATCTTTCCCAATTACCCTTCCTGCCCCCATTTAATCTCACCCTTCCAATATTATCACCACTCTAAGTTGAAAATTATTTCTATTATTTCATTAAAAATAAATTCCACTGCTTGGAAAAGAAAAGGTGGAGAGTAATAAATCTAATGAGAAAAATTATAAATTTGCCTGGTGTTACAAAGCTGAGGCAGCAATTAAACATTTAAAAATCTTGCTGCTGCTGGTATCTTGTTGCTCCTCTAATAGAAGATATCATCTTGAAAAGGGACAGCAAATTGTTATTTAAAAGAAGAAAATTTTCTACTTCCTACACAAACAAATAGTTCTTTCTAAAAATAATCTCCTTATCCTAAATATACTGACTTTTGATAGCATTCCTAAGCCTCACCACTCTGTACCAAGGCAGTATTAGAACAGGCAAATTGCAGATGAGAATGCTAAGCAGGCACTGTGACCCCACAGCACCTTCTGTGAGAGGCAGTGAGTATTGTCAGCACTGCCCTGACATCTGTGAAGGCAGGCGAAAGGCTCCCGCAGCAACCAGGCCACCCCACATTACTTACCGGCGGCAGGGAGACCTGCCCTGTGATTTCTGGTGGACGCATGTTCACAGAGTCTTCTCCTGGGCCTTCGGGGTCCCCAGATGGGTACGGTGGGGGTGGGTATGGAGGGTACTCTTCCAGGTACACTTCAAGCAGGTGTGGGGACTCCAGATTCGGTTCTTCCAAGTTACTCTGGAGATTCAGGCTGCTGTCAGGGCCTCCCTCAGACACACAGTCAAGTCCTAGAGCCGGTGCTGGCACATCACTTGCCTTTGGACTGGCACTCCCTGCCTCCTCTCGGGAAGGCATTTCAGGAACCACAGAGTCTCCCTCCTTGCCTGGGTTCAAGATCTCGACGGGGTTCTCTGGGCTGGCAGCCCCTTGGGTGGACCTGGAAGGGTGTGCCGGGATGGAGATGGTCTCCATGGCGGCGATGGTGGTCCTCTGATACAGAAGTTTCTGGATATTTGGCCCACTCGGACCCTCGGGCTCTGTAATAGAGCTGCGCTTTTTGAGTGGCCTGGGTGCATTTGACAGTTTCTTCCGTAAGGCCTCCAAGTCAGCATCACTCTGGTTTCGGTAAGGGTGTGAGAGGAATGGCAGTAACTTGGTTGGGCTGAGGGGCCGAGGAATCCGTTCCTGCTCCTGGTTCTCCTGCACTGCTGATGTGGGCTCGGTGTCCAGCTCGGGACTACTAGGCTGGCCCTGGCTGCTGGAATAAATGTTCTCCGGGTGCTGCTGCTGACTGTGGCCAGAAGCAATCACAGGCTTGCCATACACTAAAACGAAAAGGAAAAATCTCTTGTTAGTATTATAGACAAAACTACAGTCAGTAAGAGATACGGCTAGTGGTGACTATATAATGCCCTTTAAGACAGTATTTTTTTTTTCCTAAAATTGATATCTTAATGAAAGTTTACAGAAAACCATCCTATCCTGTGCCATCCTCCCACTTCCTGACACACTAGAGCCCATTGCAGCAGTCACTGTGCCAATCCACCTGGGTGTCAATCCACCTGGTTGAGGTTATTCCTCTCCTTTGCTTTCCAAGCATTGTGTCCTTTTCTAAGAACAGCAACATGTGAGATGAAGTTTTACCATCTTTGCCTCCAAGGAGCACACTGGCTACACTTTCTCCAAGACTATTTTTTGTTCTTCTGACAGTCCCTGGGATATTCTGTACTCTTCTCCAACACCACAGCTCAAAGGTATGAATTCTTCTTCTGTCATCCTTATTCATCATCCAGTTCTCAGATGTATAGCAAGTGATCTAAAAGCCCATGGCCTGAGTGAGGCACACCTTAGTCCTCAAACATCATTACTCCTCAATAATTTGGAAAAGTCCCTAACTGCAGACTTTCCCAGTCTCCTGATTTCTTGATTACTGGTACCAAGGGTGTTGACTGTGGATCCAATAAGATGTTGCTGACAATTTCAATCTTTCTCCATCTATCAGGACCTTGCCTACCCAGTGGTAAGAATTTTTGTTTTCATGACATTGAGATGCAATCCATATTGAAAGCTGTATTCTTTGATCTTCTTCAATAAGTGCTTTAAGTCCTCCTCACTTTAAGCAAGTAAGGCTGTGTCATATGCATAATGCAGGTTATTGATGAGTATTCCTCCAATTCTGATGCCACATTCTTCATAGAGCCCATGTGCTCAGCATACAAATTGAATAGGTAGGGAAAGAGAATACAATTTTAATGCACTCCCTTCTTAATCTTAGACCATGTAGTGTTCCCTTGCTTTCTTTGCAAAACGGGCTCTTGGTCTAGGTATAGGTTTTGCATGAGCACAAGTAATATGGATCAGAGAGTTGGACAATGACTAAGGATGGATAGAAGGAGAATTGATGCCTTTGAGCTGTGGTGCTGGAGAAGAGTATAGAGGGTACCATGGACTGCTAGGAAAACAAACAGATTCATCCTGGAAAGGGTTAAACCAGGTGGCTCCTTGAAGGCAAGGATTCTGAGGCTTCGTCTAACATACTATGGACATGTTATAAGGAGAGACTGGTCCTTGGAAAGGGACATCATGCTGGGGAGGGTGGAGGGACAGCGCAGGAGGGGAAGGCCCTCTATGAGGTGGATTGATTTAGTGACTGGGGTAATCAGGATGGGAGTGTCAAGAGACAGTGCAATTGGTACAGGACAGAGCAGAGTTTAGGGCTGTTGTACAGAAGGTTGCTATGAGTCGCAAGCAACTCAATGGCAAATAACAAGTAATAAGTTAACTAAGTGTCATTGTTTAAAAAAAGCCCAACTTGTATACAAGCGCAGTTGCTTGATACTCTGTGTTCTCAAAACATGTGGTCACAGCATGGCTAAGCGGTGGCCTCCTGCACAGTAGCTGTCCAGGGCCATTTCATTCACCTCTTACCTTCCGTGTCTGCTGTAGCAGCTAACCCCTAGCAAGCTCTCTTCTCAGTTAACAACTGAGGGCCCCGAGAACAGCATGTACTGAAAGAGGATGCTCCTGGCTCTTTGCTGAGAGGGACACTATAGTCTACTGCAGGACTTTAGACAAACATCACACACATCATGCACAGCTTTGAAAACAAGGCCTTACCGCTGGGAAAGTGAGGGCCTCTACTGTGTGTCCTGGTCAGTGCGCTCTGCACTGCCTGCTGGAAGTTCTTCCCAGGAGCCTGCTGCTGAGTGTACATGGAATATATTGAGCTTGCTGCCACAGTTGGTGGTTTTCTGAAGGGTGGCAGGAGGGCATCCTTGGGAGGCTGTGGTGTGAAGGGCCGGACAGCAGCAGCTGGAGGGCTTTCCTGCTTCACAGTTGGAGGAAGGCCTTGCTCTGGGCTGGCTGAAGGCATGCCAGGAGTCGGCACACCTGGAGTCAGTGCAGCCCTCTGCTGCTGGACCACCGTCTTTGGTTTATTACCCACCATCGTAACAGCAGCTGAAAACTGCTGAGTACCACCATCTGGCTTAATGTCTGATGATGGCTGACTAGCTTGTCCAAAATATGGCAAACTGATCTGCTTTGGTTTTGAAGGAACAGGAGGTGGTACCTTAACACCATTTTTACTCGTAGCCTGTAACACAGACAACAAAAGGCCAGGTGTAAAATCACAGTACAACAAGGTGTTCTAAATGACCTGATTTCATAAATGTAAGCAGACACTGTTAAAATAATCACCTTTTAACTTTTAAATCATTAGAAACTTTTCAGTCTCTGGACTGAATCCCATTTAATAATGAGCTTCGGGAATGTAATACAATTTCTCCCCAAACAACTTTCTCTTCCTGCCTCTCCTTCCTTTTTGTCTTTTTGTGTGCACCCAGGCGGCCAAGTCAGCGCTGACTCACAGTTGGCAAATGCCACGGAAAGAGTGCTCATCTTTCTCTCTTAGGAGAGGCTGGTGGATTCAAACCCCCAGAGAGATGCCACTTTCAGGTCAGCAGCTCAACTTCCCCTGGACTAGACCACCAAAGCTCCCTACTACCTACTAGAGCGCCAACTCTAACTACAAACTAGTCCTCTACTGCCCAGAGTCAGCGCCCCATTGTGCTGGCATGACTCATAGGGGGTGATCTATTAGCCCAGAGGCAGCGCCCCAGGGTGGTGTGACTCTACCAACTGCTCTGAGGGAGAATAAGAGACTATTTGCTTCTGTGTGACTGACACAGCCTCAGAAACCCACTGGAGGGTCAGCAATGAGCTGATTTCAATTCGACACCACTGGGTGCCAACTCCAAAGCTTTTAATCAACACCTTCCACATTCATCAATGGATCAATAAATGAACCCATTCTTGTTCACTGGAACGTCCTACAGTGTAGAACACTGTGGTTAACACCCAACCTAGAATAATATACACTTATAACCTGGTTGTCAAAGGTTAGTATCACTCACACAGAACAGTCACCATCAAATCACTGACATTATTTCAGCTCCAAATTCTGAAAATATGAGATCTTTCAATAGCACAAAACAATGTGCTGTGATGCATTTACACCATTTAGAGAATCACATGAAGTATGATCCATAAGCAACTCTATCAGCCATTCTCTCGATGTGAAGCCACAAACATACTCAAACAATATAGAACGCTGTTGTATTTTCTCTAACTTCTATGCATTTTACTTCTATTCTCCCACACATAGTTGTCTGGCTCTTCTTTAAAAGCACATTGAGCCTTGCCCGGAGTTTTCAAAGCCAGCCCTTCTTCAGTACCTGAGCATCCCTCAAGATGTCCTCACTGCTCTGGTTCTTCCTCAGCGTGCCGAAGGCAGGTGGGCCAGCAGCCTGGTCCACTGTGTCCAACATGGAGAAGGGGCGCACTTTCTTCTCTTTCTCCCTCAGCAGAATCTCGCCTTCATCAACTGAGGACAGAAGAAAATCACACCCAATGCTTACAACTGTGCAACAAAATTCTTTATCCACTTAACAAGTCTGCCTCCCCTAAATGTCTGACACACTGTGTGTTCCTGAAACATAGACATTCCATGTTTCCTATGTTTAAACTACCTTGATAAAATGATAATGCAAATGCTATGGTGTAGTACCTTTAGCTCTAAGCTAAATGAAAATGTCCTAGTAATAAACCAAGTACTAGGCTTAGCACACTGCAAAAAAGCACCTAAAAAAAGAACACATATCCACTTGTATGAAGCTTACAGAATCAACAGGAGCACCTATAAAGATTGTACTCCTGAGAACAATCAATGTACAAGACAGAAAGGGCAACAGTTACCAAAACAAAAGATGTAAATAAGCACAGAGGAGAGGGAATTCAGAACAGAAACAGGGAGCCTGGGAAGCTGTAGGGAGGATGCTAGCACACTACAGGGATTGTAATCAGTATCATCAACAATCTGGGCACCAACTATGGACTGGAAAACTAACTTGCCAAAGTGAACTTTCAACTCAAGCACAATAAAATGTTTAGGGGAGAAGAGAAAACAAGAAAACATAGCACTGTGCAGACAGTCCAAACAACATTCTGGAGCAGCATAAGTTCTGCTTACCTTGGTCTGGAACGTTCCCAGGGCTCTTCCGGCCAGAGACTTGGCCAGGGAAAAGGTCTGCATTTGAATGACTCCAATCATGGCCAATTGGGTGGACTTTCGAGCCTAGAGTGCAAGGGAGCAGCTTTAAACAGTCCAGCATTCTGAGTTTTTTAACGGTTTACTTTATTGCTAAGAATTTTAATCTCTACAAAGAGCTTTCAACTGTACACTCAAACACCAGTAAATTTATTTAGAAAATACTGTCAGATTTCTATTTTTAACTTTCCAAGCAATTTAAGATTATCATAACAAATGCAAAATCTGTGACGCACACTGTGTGAGAAAACATGATCATAATGCACAGAAAAAGGATGTCCAGTTCACCCGCTGGGGGTTCAGTGAGCCTTACGCCACCAGCTGGAGAGCTGCACTCAACCGAAAGCCATCCGGGCTGTGTACTTCTGACCAGACCTCCCTCTCCACATGGACATCCTTGCCAAAGCTAAAGCTTTTAGTTTTCCTTTAGAAGCAAATTAAGTAGAACTCTTTCTACAGTTGTAGAAATTCTTCACAGCAGTAATTACAGCAAAATGAATGATTTTAAATCATCTGTATTTTGTACAGGACTGTGGGCAAGGAAAACAGACTATCACTTTTACTTCCCAGGGTCTGAATGATGGTATCATCCAAGGAAGCTTTCCTCCTTTTCTTCCCAAACTCTCCCCTTTCCCCTTCTTCTCCAAGTCCGCTTACAACAGTCTAAGTAGAGGCCAACAGGAATGCTAAAAGCCTAAATGTATCACTCAGCCACGTATGCAAAAAACAGATTTGTCTTTTTTCTCTCATTACTTTTATGTTTACTCCCAGCAGGCAAATTTTCCCATGTGAGCATGTGAATATTTAACACATTCATCCACAGAACAGATTCACCACCTCATGTTCTGTGACAGGTGACACTTCTAGCACATAGGTGGTGTGTTTCATCCAAAAGACCAGTTCTAACACCAAGTCAAAAACATCTTATAAACAGAGGAGGAGTAAGAATTAATAAGCAGATAAGCTGAGTGAAGAAAAACGCAATATACATTAAAAGGGTGGCCAGACACTGTAACAAATTAATTAATCTGTTACAATTCTTGTTAGAAAAATACACGTGACCCCTCAAATGAAAAATCAAAACTTTCACTAAAATAAAAAATTTGGAGCGGGGGTGGGGGGGAAGACATAAACACACTACCCTTCTTGAAATAAATTTTTTGAAACAAATATTCTATCTGCTTCTACTTTTCCAGAATACAGGTTGTACTATTTAGGGTTAAAAGTTAATTGTACTTAGCAGAGAATGCAAAGGGGTTCTTAGAATTTAAGAAGGAACGAGGGCTATGATGATAAAAGTTTCTGAAGAGCAGACCTGAGAGAATCAATGGTGGGGATGAGGATGAGGATGAGGCTGGGGGCAGGGATGACCTAAGCCACAGACACAAACAGACTGACCCCCGCTGGTACCTTTCACTTGAGAAGCAGCCCCGGCTCTCATGTTTGGCAGTGTCTGCATCTTCATCAGTCCCTCAGAAGCCAAGGCCCCATCTGGCTGGGCCGGCTTCACCAGGAGCTCAGGCCTGGAGGGCATCCGCGGCATCGTAGACGACTGGATGTAAGGCCCTACGGCAGCCACGCGACTGGGTGCTGACACCACTTGCTGGGGGAGATTTCCATCAGAGGAAACCTTAGGAAAAGGGACACAGGTCCTGTGCTGCTAAGACTCATGCTGGGTAACAAACTCAGGGAAAAAACCATTAATTTAAGGGTTTTAATTAAAAAAAAAAATCCACCTACAAGATCTAGCCTGAGTCTACAAAAAACATCCTCAAGACAAAACCACTCCCAATGGACTCTCACCTGTACTCTGTTAAAAGTGTCAAATGAAAAGCAGAGCTACACAGGCAAAAAGATAAAAAAAAAAAAGGCCCATGGATTCTTCTAGTTTCCTTAGGGTCCAATGCTGATGAAGCTGCTGCTGAGTAATGGACACCCCCCAAGACACCTCCCCCCGCCCCTGGCCAGTCAGCATCCCCCCCGCCTCCCACTCACTGGGAGGTTCTCCTTCTGCTGCAGAGCCGCCTTCTTCTTCCACAGTCGGTCCCTCAGCTCATTAACACGCTTATCCATGACTGCTACTTCTGAATTGCGCTTATTCAAGCACTCCCTCTGTTGCTGAAGCTTGGCATTCTGCTCTTGATTCAATTTGTTTCTTAGCTGAAAAAAAAAAAGAAAAGGAGAAAAGTAGCCAAGGAGCAGGAAGAAAAATGTCTCAAACACAGGATAACTATTATACAATCTCTTAAAATGTAATCTTCTACCTCTCTACAATTGTCATTCTGGGGTTAAAATTACACAACCCTTGTGTTAAAACCAAGAAGCCATGGTGCCAAGAAATGTCAATCAGCTAACTGAATAAAAGGTCTGCAGTTCGAATCCACCAGCAGCTCTGAGCAAGAAAGACAGGCAATCTCCTTTCATTAAGAGCCATCAGCTTCAGGTATCTGGAGGAAGGTCACACGAGTTGGCATCCACTCACAGCACTTGGCTTTCTGGGTGGATTTTAAGATGATTAGCTGAGGTCTGAGGAACGATTCAAATCTGTGACATGATGTCTTTCAAACTTCTGCACTGTACTGTTTGGAGTTTAAGTCTCCCTAAATGAAGAAACTAAAAAAGCAACCAAAATCTAGCCCTTTCTGTCTTTTCTATGAACCACCGATTTTACTGGAGGAGCAGTTAATGGACTCAGCTGCTAAGTGAAAGGTTAATGGTTCAAGTCCACTAAGAGCTTCTTCCACATAAAGGTCTAGTGATCTATTTCCAAAAATTCAGCCAGTGTTTATTCGGCACAGTCCTACACAGGCACACAATTAGGGCAAATGATTACAAATCAGGTGGTCGCTGTTTCTTGTTCAGCTGACCCTAGCTCATGCGAACTCTGTCTGGGGCTTGACCTTGTGGCTGGCCAGCCAGTGTTTACATATTTTTGCACCTATGGACAAGAAGGGAAGTAAGTGACAGTGCATCAGGCAACTGGATAGGACTTACCTGCAGCTCCTTGTAGAGGCGGTCCAGCTCAGCCACCGCAGACTGGCCATCATGGTGGCAATCAATCCGGCCGTTTTTGAGCATTTCCAGCTGCCTTGTAAGTTCCTCCACTTTCGACACAGCCAGAACGAGCTCCCTCTGCTTCTGCTGGAACAAGCTGTTCATCTGCTCGATTTCCTCCACTGCAATGGGAGTGAGGACAGGAATGAGAGATGAAAAGCAAAAGCAGCAGCGATTATTTTCCCAGCAACCAGGCTTTCCAACAAAAAGTAGAGAGGTTTTTCCAAAAGAGCCTAAAGACCACTCTAACATCAACATTTGTACATGAAAAAAAAATCACTGTCTTGATCACAATACTTGTTTCAAAAGAAAATTCTGTTATTATTGTTCTTCAGTGTTGTTCAGTAGCTATAATTCCCAGCAACCCCATGTACCACAGAAAAATCGCTGCTCTCCTTACGTCCACTACTGGAGACACTATGCCAAACCAGCTCTTTGAGGGTCTTCCTCTTTTTCGAAGTCCCTCTACTGTACCAAGCATGGTATAATTCTCCAGGCACCGGCACCTCCACTGCCCAAAGTGTATGGAACAAAATCCTCCTCACTCTCACCTCCAAGAGCATCCTGGCTATTTCATCCAAAACAGATTAGCTTCCTCTTTTAGCACTCTGGGGTATAGTCAACATTCTTCACCAACACAATTCAAAGGCATTGATTCCAATTAAGTTTTCCTCATTCACTTTCCAACTTTCACATGTATATGAAACAAATGAAAATACCATGGTTTGGATCAGCTACACCTTAAAGTGACAGAGTTATTCTTTAGTAATTAAAAGGAAGTTTTTTGCAGCAGATTTGCCCAAAGCAATACATTATTTGATTTTTTTTATTTCTGCTTCCATGTGTGTTGATTGTATGTAATCCTTGGCAACGTTCCTCCATTTATTACAATGTTGACTTAAAAATAAGTCTTTGAGCATCAAGCCCTCTTCACCATCTGCAAGCAAGATTGGGTCATCTGTGTAACACGGGTTGTTAATGAGTCCTCCTCCAATCCTGATGGCAAGCTCTTCTTCAAAGAGTCCAGTTTCTTAGTTTACCTGCTCAGCATACACTTAACAAGCATGAAGAAAGGACACAACTAGCTCTGACACTCTTACATTAAACTGTACAGCTTCTCCTTACTCTGTCCAAACAACTGTTTCTTGGTGTACGCATAGGTTCTGCAGGAGCACGGTTAAACATTCTGCAAGTCCCATTCCTCTTAAATGTTAGCCACAATTTATTATGACTCAGTCAGGCAAATACCTTCACTGTCAATAAAACAGAAATATATCTTTTTATAGTATTCTCTCCTTTCAGCCAAGATCCATGTAACATTAGCAATGATGCCTTTCGTTCTGTATCTAGCATGAATTTCTGTGTAGATGTGCTGCTCTGGGCATTTTAAAATTGTATTCAGGAAAATTTTACTTGTCTGAGAAATTAAAGATATTTTTGATAATTTTCACATACTGTTGGTTTATCTTTGGAAACGGCAGAAATTTAGAATTCTTTCAGTCAGTTTGCCAGGCAAACATGGCATAAATGAGAAGATCTGTTGTTGTTATGTGCTGTCAAGTTGCCTGATACTCATAATGACCCTAGATACAGCAGCTCTGAAGCCCACCCTATCTCGGAGCCAGTTTCCCCTGAGTCCAACAATGCCCAGTCACTCTATCAATCCATCTCATCCAGGGTCTTCCTCTCTTTGTGCTGTCCCTCCACCCTTCCAAGCATGATGTCCTTATTCAAGGACTGGTCCCTCATGGCCATGTGCCTAAAGTATGTGAGATGGAGCGTCAAAATCCTTGCCTCCAAGGAGAAATTTGGTTGCACCCTCTCCAAGACAGATCTATTTGTTTTCTTGGTGGTCTAGGATTGCATTAACTTGTTTAAACATCTCTATTGTATTATGTTAATTTATGGGATCTTATTTTCTTTTTTTTCCCCCTCAGGACCTTTGGTGCAACTTAAACTTCTTCCTTCATTATCACTGGTTTTGATATCCTATTTCCTAAAATGGTTCAGTTCCAGCCAGTTCTTTCTGGTACAGTGACTGTGTATTTCTTCCATGTTTTTTGATGCTTCTTACCCATGGAGTACTCAGTACTGCACCTCGAAGCTTAAATGCTTTCTTCAATCTTTTTTAGCTTAATAAACGTCAAGTGTGTTCTTCCCTTGGGTTGTTTTTCTTCACCCACAAACTCCAGATCTCTGCACATTATAACATTTTGCTTTCTTTTTTTGAACTGAACTGTCCTTTGAAATACTGTTAGGCTCTTATTTCATTAAGTTTTAGGGTCTCTTCTAACATTCTGTTCCTTTCTTTCATCATTTTTTAATGACCTTTCACTTTCTTATGATGTCTCTGAAGTCATTCCACAACTTATCTGGTCTCCATCACTGTATTCAAGTATCAAATCTCTTCCTGAGAAGGTTTCTAAACTCATGTGGGACATACCCACAGTCCTATTTTGGCTCGCATGGACTTGTTTTTGTTTTCTTTAGGTTCAAACTTAACATGCATATAAGCTTTGGTGGCCTAGTGGTAAGAAACTGTGGGAAGCCAAATTTCATAATAAATATTTATAACAAGCCAAGTGCTTTATCAGGAAATGAGGGAGGTGGATACAAGCTGGGATTTCACCCTGAAGCACAAACGCAATCCTTAAATGTTTACAGGGGTAAGCACTAAGGCAATCCTTAAGCAATTACAGGATTCTTGTATTTGCTAACCCCACATTCCTGAGTCAAGGTTTTCAGTAGAAAGAGCTTAGCTACATTTACATTGAATTATCTTTGTGATTTTCTCCCCGAAAATTTTCAATAAAGTCACAGGGAAGCAGAGACACCGTTTGCCTCCTGCTTGTTTTCTCCTACATTCTTGGTGTTCTGTCTCGTTATTAATCCCCCCCCACACACACACACACACACACACAGAAACCAGGAAACTGAAAGGGAATTCACTCAGCGTAAGTGCAACTTTCGGGAAAATGAAAGGTAGGATCATGAAGAAATCCTCAAACTCTTAAATATTGCTAGAAATTTAGGGGTAGAAGTAGAAAAATTTCATGAGGTTTATTCATGGAGCAAAGTAGAAAAATGTTCATAGGGCTGGAAACAACTCAAGTGCCCATCAACAAATGAACGGATAGAAAAGCTGTGGTATAGTCACATAATGGAATACTATGCAGCACTGAAAAACAAGGAACTCATGAAATATTATACAAAATGGGTGATCCTGGAGGACATTATGCTGAGTGAAGTATCTCAGCCACAAAAGGACAAATATTGCATAGGGCCACTATTATAAAACAGGACTGACATTGGGGTTGAGGGAAGAAAGAGAAGAAGGGGAGGAATAAAGTATACTGCTCTGCAACAGATGGGGGAGAGAACTGTTTAAAAGGGATATATGACTAAGTATTACTGTCATGTCAGGAGTAAAAAATGAAGGCTGTACAGTGCAGTGGATTTGGGGGGAGGGACTGCATAGTAATGAAAGAGTCTTTCTTTTACTTACCAAGGAGAAAAGAGAATTGGGAGAGTGGGAGGGGAGGAAAGTGCAACAATGAATGACTGGAAACCTTAAGTCTCTGTAAACGTTCATTAAAATTAATAATAATTTTAAAAAGGTAATAATTAACTCTAGGAAAACAAAAAAATTGTACAAAAAAGAAAATACAATCATAATACAGGGCTACGTGCAGCACTGACTAGTGTTTACTTGTTCAATGGTATAAATATTATTAAAGTAGTAACTTTAAAATTTTGTTATTTGGAATATGGAAAAAAACATAATGGATGTGAAAGTTTAAAAAAAGTTCATAGGGATTTTCCCCACCTCTCTGACTGAAGTAAACTACCTAAAAAGTCAGAGTTAGAAGAGAAAAAAGGAGTCATGAGGAACATCCCATCCTCTGAAGCTCAGTATATCACATTAAAGAATTACTTAAGCGCTCAGGGATGGGTTCAATAATGTATACTGCACTGAAACAGAGGAGGGAGAAAACTGTTTAAAAGAGATATATAACTAGGTATTTCTGTCATCACAGGAGTCTAGAGCGAGGGCTACATGGTGGAGGGGACCTGGGGGAGGGTTTGTAAAACAATGAAAGAATCTTTTCTTTTACTTTTCCATAATTTTTGACTCATGTACTTATAACTTGTTAGTCAAATTTGTGTCTTCTAGGTTGCAACACCCCCATGATACATCTTCAAGGATATGAACATGTACGGCCAAGCACAATTGATAACAGTGCATCTAAATTCCAAAATCAATCTCCATAATAGTCTATGTGTTTCCTACTGCCAAAGGGGCCCTTTAGAGTAGTGAGAGAAGATCTTCACCCTGAAACCCACAGCGTCCCTTTTCAGCAGGAAGTAGCTAAGAGAATACACCATCCCCTTTTCCTTATGACTCAGGGTGAAGTCTCTCTCAGGGAGGAGTGATAGGGAATGGCAAAGGACACACTGACAAAGAAGATTAATAAGCACTGTGGCATTTGGACAAGAACAAACTGGGAGAAGGGTAGAGAGAATAGTGCAACAATGAATGAATGGAAACCCATAATCTCTGTAAATGTTTATGAAAATTAATAAAATATAATTATAGAAAAAAAAGAGCTCAGGGTAAAAGTAAGGTCTTTTTGCAGTTGTTTCAGTATGTGCAGAAACACTGTTACTAGTTTAAATCAGTAAATAAAGCAGTTAAATTTAAAAACTTGGCTATATGGTGCACAAGCTTTACGAAAAGCACATCGAATAAGAGAACAGACTCCTATTAATTTTTAGCCAGTAAGGGCTTTGAAAAGAATAGTAAAAATGTCTGTGCAGGACTGTACTTGTAATATAAAAAATTTGCAAAGAAGATGGCTGAATCTTGGCACAAATCTGAATTAAATAATATTACATTAAAGGAGGTTAAAGCTGAAGGTGAGAAACAGCCTTTGTCACCTTTAGAAAGAACTGATCAAAAGGGAAATGTGATTCCTGTTTCAGTTTGGTCATCATGTGATTTGATCTCATTAGCTTTATAGCCATTATGGTCTGCAACAAGAAACTGCACTGCAATCCCGAAGGCATGTGTAATCTCCTGTGTGATTAACTGAGACTGAAAACTCACAGGAGGGTCTACTAAGGGTCAATTGCAACTCTCTGGTAAACAACAACAAGCAACTGATAGTCAGACCCCACTCTTGTCTGACTGATGATAACTGGGCTTCTTCACTGTCAGATATAGTTGATCTGATTCCTGGGCATTCCATCAGGCAAGGTCCATGTATCTGACATTTCAAAGATAATTTAGATACCTTATGGAAAGTTATCTACAAAGTTTCGTTTGGTTTTTCTTTTTACTACAAAATGTATATAACCTTCTGGCTCTCTTGTGTTTCCTTACACTGTGAAGCCTTTAGTCCTGCAATCAAGCCAGGACCAGAACTCACCCAGTTTGCCATTGCTTAGCCTCTTCTGCTCCACGTGGCCTTTAAGTGCTCTCACTTTTTTCAGCTTAGCTTCCTGATTTTCAGCTATTTCTTTCAGTCTCTTAAGTTTTTCCTGTTCAGCTGCTTGTTGCTGCTGGCGCTGATCTTGCTGTTTTAAAAACTTTAAGCGCTGTTCCTAAAGGCAGAAGTAATCATAAGGCATGCAATTTTTGGTATACCACTAACAGCCACAACCCATTATGTGCCAAGTCTGAAGAACATCTGCCACTGTTTCCTCTACTGCCCTATTCACTAACATCAGAAGAAATGGGGAGATCTGCTTAAAGTAGACCCTCCAACTCTAGACTTAACAGAATCAACCCTGGACTTAAGAGAGAGGGAACACTGAGAGTCTATATTTCAAACCAAGTGGTCTTGGGCAACAAAGCATCAGCAAACCCTGGGTTAATTGTCATGAATGTTTGCTATAATGTTAAGAAAACATTTATGGAAAGATGGGACATGTATGAGAAAGTATCCAAACACAGCATAATGTAGGAGAATGCTTGCATGAAACACAATGTGAATGAAGAATAGTGTGAAATATAATGCATATAAACTTTGTAAGCAAACCAATTTTTAAAAAAATGTAAAATAGAATGTATACGAATGACTGTATGAAACAATGTAAATGAAAGATTGTATAAAACACAATGTCTATGAATGAAACAATGTAAAGGAATTATTACATAAAAACTAACAAAATAAAAATAATTTTTAAAAAGAATTTTACTAAAATTCACAAGCCTCTCTGTGTATGGTTATAATCCCATCTGGGAACGGGCTGTCTTTGCTATTTTAATGAACATGACTAATGGAGTGTTATAGTGTGCCTGAGTTCACTGTTTTCAGATATAAAGAGATTAAACACAAGTTGGTGGGAGGCATAGCCAGTAGGGAGATTTGCAGCAAAGTCAATGGCCACACCTCTCTGGCGGTTCAAATCCACCAGTGGATGGGGGGTAGAGAGGGATATTAGGCAATCAATCTCCTCTCATGTCATTACAGCTTTGGAAACTCTCAGAGGGTCACTCCTGAGTCAGAATCAGCAATGACTGAGGAAGGTAACCACCAAGAGCATGCTTCATGTTGCATGTGAAAGCTGAACAATGAATAACAAGACCAAAGAAGAGCCAATGCCTTTGAGCTGTGAAGGAGGTGGCCCAGGAGAGCACCAACCATACCCTGAATTGGCAAAAGAACAAATCTGTCTTGGAAGAAGCGAAGCCAAAGCACTCTGGATGCAAGACTAGTGAGACTTTGTCTCACATACTTTGGCCATATAAAGGGTGCCAGTCCCTGGAGATGGACAGCAGGCCTGGAAAAGGAAGAAGATAGGTGAAGGAGGAGATGACCTTCAATGAGAAGAGCTGACAGTGATTGCAAGATGGGGCAGCTTCCTTTTCCTGTACTCACAGCTGCTGAGTGGGAGGGGATTTGACAGCACACATTAACAGTGAGCAGAAAAGGGGGGGGGGGTGTGGGCTGGTTTCCAACACATAGGAATATGAAGAAGGCTGCAAAGCAGAAGATAAAAGATACAAGAGCAGGCAGGCAGCGAAAGCCTCTCTAAAGCTGGCGTCTGGAACTCAGACCTCCAGTCTCCTAAACTTGAGACAATCTGTTAAAGTCACCACTTTTATTTCTTTTATACATATGATCAGTGGTAAGAAGTTGTGCTGCCAACCCAAAGGTACATGGTTCAGGTCTACAAGCTGCTCCACAGAAGAAAGATGAACAATCATTCTGTGTTGATTTAAAGTCTCAGAAAACTTTCTGGAAGGTCACAGTAGACCACCACCACCACAACATGACTGACTTATTTGTGTGAAATTTACAAATCATACTGGTTTTTATTCAGTCACAGAAGATTTGTTCTGTAACATTAATTTTAACTGTCTCCTAGAAGTAATTTATCACAAAGACTAGTCAAATTCTTATTGTATATTGCCATTGCTTTCATTCAACTTAGTTTTCCCTCCTCTCCTCCCTGTTAAACCATCAAGATTATTTCTATGTGTAAACCTTTCCTCAGCTTTTTATAATAGTGTTTTTATTCCACAATTGTCCTCCTGTGAAAGACTTACTTCTCTCAGCATACTTTGTTAGATTAATCCACGTTGTGCAGTAGTATTTCATGAATTGATGTTGTTGTTAAGGTGAGAATAAGCACTGAATTTTATTTCTGAAAGTCTTTATCTTTCAGATATACATGCTGAAATATTTACAGCAAGAGTAACTGCTGGTATTTGTTACTGTTGTTACATATTAGAACTGACCCATAGATACCTGACAGCCGGTTTTCAGAGGCAATAAGTTGCACAGGAGAAAAATGCCCACCCATCTTGCACCTACACGAATTCTTAATAATAATTATAATTATTATTAACATAATAATTCACTGTACCAATGTAAAGAGTTTCTTTCATCATTTATTAGCTGATGAACACATAGGCTGTTTCTAACTCTATGCAATAATAAATGCTACAATAAAAATCAGTCTCTCTGTGTATGTTAGAGCTCTGGATCAAATACCTTTCCACCTTTCTAAGGAAGCACCAAACTGCTTTCCATATTTGTTGCACCATTTTACATTCCCACTAGAAATATATGGAAGTTCCAATCTCTTTACACCTTTACTAAACATCACTATTTTTTCCAAGTTTTGATTTGCTTCTTCTCTAATAGAGCACAGAATAGAGATTCTTATCTAATAAGTGGCAGAAGTTGCCCTAACCAAAAGGTCAAGCTTCTCTGGTGGTTTGAACCCATTGGTAGCTCTGAGGGAAGAAAATGCGCAATCTCTTCCTGTGTGAACTACCACCTCCCACATATCCGCTGGAGGGTCAGCTGTGAGTCAGTTCCAACTACACAACAATGAGTTTGAGAGAGTGAATAGTTAATGATCTTGACCATTTCTTTATGTGTTTTTGGCCATCTGAATGTCTTCTTTGGTAAAGTGCCTATTCACGTCCTCTGCCCATTTTGTAATTAGGTTGTTTTCTACAGTATTTCTGTTATAGCAGCTCTAGGGAATCAAAACATCTATAAATGGGGATGAAAAATAGTAACTACCTCATAAGACTGTATTTAATTACATGAAATGTGAAGCTCTTTAAACAGTAACTTAGGTAGTTTGTCTCCAATAAGCACCAAATAAAAAAGCTAAAGAAATGCAATAACACTTTTAGAAAAGCATGAGTATATAATTTAAAATTTTATTTCTATTAAAAATTTTCATTTAAACAGTGTAACAGAAGAATGCCACGTATAATCAAAGGTAAACACCATCTCAGAATATGTTTACTGTTTTAGCTATATTTATATTACATATATATATGTAAAATGTAGAAATAGTTTTAATTAAGAACTACAAAATCAGTGATTTATCATGTAAAAAATCAACCTTTCTTTAAATTTCTTTAAATCATGAGTTGAAGTTTATAGAGTAAACTGGTCCATTCAATCACTCCTATACATTTTTTTCTATGACATTAATTACAATCTTCACAGTATAACCATTCCTTCTTGACTCCACCCTGTGATTTTCATTTCCATCAAGCCCTCTATCCTACCCCTTCTTATCTTCTGAGCTTTATCTCAGGGCAAATGATCCTCTCGATCTGATTACTCAGTCTATCAACTGAACATCATCTCACTGATGTCCAATGAGAACCAACCCATAGATGACCCTCCAGTGGGTTTACACAGGCTGTAAACTGCATGGGAGGAGACTGTCCATCTTTCTCCTGTGGAGCAGCTGGTAGATTCGAACCACCTGCCTTCAAGGTAGTAAAACACCTTACTCACTTAGGTCATCAGGCCTGTTCACTGTTTGATTAAGAGTAGATTCATAGGGGTGAGTTTTGTTCCTGGCTGGAAGGCTGAGCAGGCAACCTGAGCGTGTGTCCTTGATTTTCAATGGACGGAGCATCAGAATTACCAGGGAACTTATTAAAAAAGCAGAAACTCAGGCCCCAGCGCCTACCTACTGAATCAAGTAATTTTAACAAAGTTCCCCCAAGATTCCTTAGTATTGTTCATTCAAGTCTAAGAACCAATGATACACATGATCTTAAGAATGTTAGTATCTGGTATTACAAATAGAGTGGATCCTTAAGAATGCCTGGCTGTTACTCCAAAGCCCTACTGGGTAACTTGTTATCTCACACCCAACCTCAGTTAACTGAAGTTTAAAATAATCACTGATAGACTGCTTAAATGCAGATACTGAGTCCTTAGACCCACTAGTGGGAAAACAAGGTCCAGTTCACTGCCTGCTCTTTTAAATAAAATTGTACTGGAAAATTGTACATCCTGACCCACTGATTTAAAGACCATCTATGGTTGCTTCAACACTACAGCAGAAGAGCTGAATTGTTCTGACCACCAAAACTGTATGCAAAGCTAAAAACATTTAATGCAAAGCCCTTTTAAGGGGGGGGACACGGGGGAGAAAGTCTGGTAGCATCAGGTTTAGATGCTAGAAAAATGAGCATTGAGATGGCTTTCGATAATAAAGAAGAAACATCTATTTTTCCTTATTCAAGCCTAAGACTATGCTTAGATTGTGAGTGAACACTGTCCCCAAATAAAGACCAGCAGCCTGTTATTGGTGTCAAGCAGCAGAAGGGGACAGTGTTGACATTAGAAAATCTGACCATTCTTCCTACTATAGCAATGACTCAGCCCTAGGTTAGCTCAGAGTTGAAGACCTGTTCTGCTTTGCTGATATCCAACATGATGTTGCTGCTATCTGCTGATGATTCGGAAATGACTCCTATCTAACTGCAGAAGATTTTCAGAGTCTGTAAATTGCCTAGGAAGAGACTGTCCTTCCTTCCCCCTTTGGAGGAGCTGGCAGAATCAACCCACTTGTCTTTGGGTTGGTGGCAAAACTCATTGCTCACTAGGCCATCAGAGCTTCCACATAACATAGCAAAATGTTGCCAGACCTCTACAGACTCATCACAGCATGGTTAATCTGGATCAGAATGAGAAGCCAAGAAGATCCTGAACTAGAATAGCAGTTTCTACAAAATATTATGACAAGAGGAAGAGAGTACAATGCAGCTGGTAGCACTGGGGATTCATAATATCAGCTCTTATTTGTGAGCTAACTGGCTTATAAGCAAGTTGGAAGGTGAACCCTCTACACATACATTATTAGTTATGGCCCATTAGGCCCTCTAAAACAAGCATTACCTTGGTAGCCAATATTTGTTGCTGTGCCTCAATCTGTTGCTGCTGGCGAGATGCCATTTCCTGGAGTTCAGCGAGAGTGAGGTCCATCCTTGGACTATGAACCTACAGCCGAAGCACAGGCCAGTCCACGTCACTCACCTTACCCTGGAGAGGGCCCACTGACCATGCCATCAGAGGGCAATCACACATCCCATCCGAACCACTACAAGTTCATGTCACAGTTTTTTAATCACATTAAATAGACCGTTAATTTGTATATATCCTTATCTATTTGATTCCAAAGAGAAAGAAGAAATGTATTAAGGTATAAAACAAACTAATATTCTTCCTTATCTTACTGTGAAAACAAGTTAACAGTTTTACCTTGTTAATTTAAAATTAGTCATTTCAGCAGCCAGGGTGATAAATGAAACCATTTATAACCACCTTGTTATACAGTGAGTTTATATAAGGTCAAGGAGAGCAGGAGTGTTGCTCGAAGGTGCTCTGATGGTAAGTTGCACTGTTAACCCAAAGGTGTGCCGGTGGCTGGTCTGAATCCACCAATAGCTTCAAGGGGAAAGATGAGCAGTTTCCTCCCACGTGACTACAGCCCAAGAAACCCACGGGAAGGTGAGCCACAGTCAGTCATGGCTTGAGAGTTGAATTAGGGAGCTGCTAACAAAGCCAGACTACGTCATCAGAAGAACTTCAACTGCAAACATAACAGCAACATTAGCAAATCCAAGACACATCAGGAACCAACTGCTTATGACAGGTTACCCTGATAACCTCGATTCCACAGTGTCCTGGATATTCCAGACAGGGCAATAAAACAATAAAAATTCATAAACAGCATCTAACACAGAAGACTGCAACTGTCCTGATTTGTAGACAACATAGTATCTAAAAATCTTATGGAATCTACAAAAAAAAAAAAAATGCTACCACAATGAAACAAATAAACAAACAAACCAAAAATATTAGTATAGGAAAACTGTAGGAGACAAGATCAGTACACAAAAAGAAAACGGTCTCCATATATTAATAGCAATTAGAAAATAAACATAAAAACAGTGTGTTCATAAGCCGAAAAGCTCAATGTCGTCAACTATCAATTGTTCCCAAATGGATTACAGTCAATGAAATCTCAATCAAAACGCTCTAAGTTCTTGTAAAAAACTGACAAGCTGATTCTAAAATTCATACTGAAGTACATATGACTTAGAGAAGTCAAAATAACCTTGAAAAAGAGTAAGTTAGAGAACATACACCACCTGACTTCCAGACATTAAATTATAATAAACATAGACACTGCGATCAATACAAACAAATAAATGGACAGACTATAGACACCAGAAACAAGTCCACACAAATATGGACAACAGATTTGAGACAAAGGTGCAAAGGCCACTGTGCAGGGAAAGCGTTGTAGTTTCCACAAATAGTGCTTCCATAAAATCAATGTAAAAAATCATTTTAATCTACTTGTCATACCCAAATGCTAATACAAAACGAATCGCAGATGTAAATGTAAATCCTGAAACTACAAAAACTTACAAAAGAGAAAAAACCCTTTGATAATTAATTAAGAAAAGATGTCTTAGCCACAACAAAAAAGCATAACACATATAAGAAAAAAACTGTTCGGCTGCCTGTCATCAGAATTAAGAATTTTCAGGCTTTGCAAAAGACACTGTTGAAGAAACAGGCAAATCATAAACTGGAAGAAAATATCTGTAAACCACACATATTTTGAAAGACCAGATCCAGACTATTTAAAGAACTCTTCAAAACTTTTTTAAAAAAAATCTATTTTAAACACTTAGCAAAAGATCTACACCAACACATTACTAAAGAAAGACATTGTTGCTGTTGTTGTTATGTGCCAGTTGGGTCACTTGCAACTCATAGTGACCCTATGTACAAGAGCCCTAAACCATGCTCTATCTTGTGCCAACCTCACTGTCTCTGACACACCTACTCCAACCACCCCAATCACTGAATCAATTCATCTCATCCAGGGTCTTCCTCTCCTGCGCTGTCCCTCCACTCTCCCAAACATGACGTCCTTCTCCAAGGACTGGTCCCTCCTTGTAACATGCCCAAAGTATGCCAGACAAAGCTTCAGAATCCTTGCCTCCAAGGGGCAACCGGCTTCACCCACTCCAGGACAAACCTGTCACAGAGAGGGTAAATAAGCACATGAAAAGATGCTCAAGCTCATTGTCATTACAAAAACAAAAATGAACCCTAAAATGCCACATCACACCTATTAGAATGGCTAAAATTAAAGTGGCTGGGCCTGAGAAATACCGACAGGAATAGAAAGAACTCTCTTGAGAATGGAAGAATATACAATTATTTTGGAAAATCTCTTGACAACTTCTTAAAAAGCTATTATTCATATACATATTCTTGGTACTAGCAGCCAGGAAATCAAAAGATGATTTGCACTGGGAAAATCTGCTGTCAGGGACCGCTCCAAAGTATTGAAAAGCAATGATGTCAGTCTGGAGACTAAGGTGTGCCTGACCCAGGCCATGGTCTTCACAATTACTTGTTATGCATCAGAAAGCTGAACAATGACTCAGGATAATAGAAGAATTGATGTCTTTGAGTTGTGGTGCTGGAGAAAAGGATTAAATATACAGTGGACTGCTAGAAGAACTAACAGGTTTGTCCTGGAGAGGATAAAACCAGACTGCTCCTTAGAGGCAAGGATTTTGAGGCTCTGTCTGACATACTTTGGGCATGTTGTTCAGAGGGACCAGTCCTTAGAGAAAAAAGTCATGCTTTGAAGGATTGAGGAACAGTGCAGGAGAAGATGACCCTGGATGAGATGGAATGAGTCAGTGACTAGGTTAATGGGGGTAGGTGTGTCAGAGAAAATGAGCTTGGATCAGGAGAGAGAAGTGTTCAGAGCTGTTGTACATAGGACCACTACGAGTCACAGGCAACTCGACAACACATAATAACAAGAATAACAAAATGCACACGCGTGCATATACATACGTTTGTATGTCCTGGGGGAGGGGTGTGTTTCTCCAAGATATATGAAAGCACATAAAGACTTATACTCACATAGCAAAAAACTAAATGCCCATGAACAAGATAAACGAAACTGTGTTATGTCCAAAAAATAAATACTCAGCAATAATGAAGAATTAACAACTGACAGCCACTCAACAGTGTGGATGAACTTCAAAATAATTATGCTGGTAGATTATGCCAATCATTAAAAAGAATGTAATTATACCAAATGAAAGAAAAATCAGAGAAAGTACACTCAGTATGATTGTTTACATAATATCCTAAGAAAACAGAAGTAATCTGAAGGGACAGTGATTCAACCAGCAGTTCCTTGAGGACAGGCAGAAGGGAAGAGTGCACACAGACAAGGAGTAGGAAAAAACTTGCTGGGGTGACACTATTTTCATTATCCTAGTTAAGATGATAATTTCATATAAATGCATATACCATCGAGTCAAAACCAATCCATAAACGACACTCTAGTGGGTTTTCAGAGGCAGAAAAATACACAGGAAAAGACTGGCCATGTACCTCGAGCTGATGGAATCAAACAAGGTGACTTTGGGTAAAGAGTGCAACTCCTTACCACTAAGCTCCCAGAGCTCCCTCTGTGTAAATATACACACACATATATACACATTTATGTATGTCAGTATCTACCATATACCTTAAATATTAGTTTATAGCATGCCAAATACAACACAAAAAATCATAACCCATTGTCATTCATTTTTACTCATGGGTTTCCAACTGTGTAACTCTTAGCAGGAGGAAACTGCATCACCTTTCTCACACGGAGCAGCTAGTATATTTGAAACCACTGGCCTTTTGGTTAGCAGCCCAACATGTCACTTACTGTGCCATCAGGGTTTCTTTGACCACAATAAATTATCTTCATATATTATTTTCAAAAACTAGCCACTAGACAGAGGGAGCACTGAGTATGAATCAAATCCAGGTCATAGCCAAAAACGCTTCTATCCTTTCACCCCTAAGAGATCATCATAAGATCAAAAGGGGGAGGGGGAGCCTGGGGAAAGGCATAGTGGGAACAGCAACTGGATTCTTAGATAATACAGACTTTAACATTCTGAAAAGGAAATGTATTTTACTGAAAGTTAGCATTTAAAGCATTACTATACTCCTCTTTTTCAAAAAGATACAGCAACAAACAAGTCACACAAAGAAGTGCTTCCTTAGATTTGCCCAACATTAATTTTCTTCTGAATTTGTGGCATATCTAATGTCACTCTTACAACAGTCAGCCATGAATGACTATTAATATTAATCATTAAAATTAAAATCACTACTCAAATTAGGAGTTTCTATAAAATAAACCTTAATAAACATTATAAAAAGAATCATTCTTAACCCACTAAATAACAAATTAATGATAAATAAGATCTGAAAGTTCAATCACATGTGGATAAAACTATTACTTACACCATTCTCCTTCCTCCGATGCTCACCAGGAATTTTGACACCATTTCTTTTTAAACTTGGATCTTGAGGCCTTGGTCCACTCACTAAGCACAAAGTTCAAAAAGCATCATTAACACTACAGTCGACAGGTATTGTGCCCGAGTTCATTTCCAAGTTCTACTGTTAGTGCTGTTTGATATTTTTAAGTTGAAGTATATTAAGACAACATACTTCTATAGCAATGGAGTTAAGGTTTCATAATTCAGCCTGTTTTAGAGAATCTATTAATGATAATACAGAATAGTTATCAAGACAAAAGCCCACATACTTTTTCTTCATTAGGAGCACTGCCTGGTTCAGACAGCAATGGAGAAAATGAAAACAAATGCATTTCTAATTAATGGGGGTTATGGATGGAAATGTACCTACAAAATAAGTCCTCTGCCTAGAGTATTCTTAGAGTCTTTGGAGGACATCAAGGTCAATGGCATAACACTGCCCACAGAAATAACATTCTATGTGCTACTTTGGTGAGTAGTGATGGGGATCTTCAAAGCTTTTGAGTTGTCATCTAAGGCTTAACTACTAGGCTCTCCTACTTGGAGCAAAGAAAAGTGAAGAAAATCCAAAATGTATGGAAACAAGTACAGAGGACAGACCACAGGAACCTGAACTTACACGACATATGAGACCCAAAAAACTAGATGATGTCTGGCTGCCACTGTTGAGGGTGTTTAAAGGGACCAGGAGCATCTGGACAGAGCGGGAGAAAAATGTGGAACAAAACTCAAAATCACACACAAAAAAGATGGCTGACAGACGCTCGGGGACAACAGCCTGGGAATGAGCTCACTCTACAAGACTTCATTTTCAGCCAAACAGGCAGGTATGAGAAGTAACTGGATTCACCTCTTTAGAACAATCTACAAGATGAGAGCAAACAGTAAGTATCTGCTCAGCAACTAAGTTCAAAAAGAAGGACGAACAAGAAAGAAGAATGACAATGATAAACTTAAGCAGAAAGCAAAAGAGTTGTTAGGTCGCAGGGATGATACTCAATGTTATGAAACAAAATGAATCACTTAATGGAAAACTAACTTGCTCTGTAAATTTTCACCTAAATAATAAACAACAAAAAGCTTAAAAGAAAGAAGCTGTAAACTCGAATGTGTATCGCCAGTCATAACGCCATTTAAGGACATGCTACCTTGGAGGAGTTTTCTTTGGCAAGACTGGCATAGGGTGTATCTTAAATGGCTCTTTTTTGGATACAGAAGAGATTAAACAGGCAAGTGAGCTAGGAGTGACATGAACACTGCCAGGGCAGAAACTTCAGACCTTGTTCCAGAGCTGAAAGGAAAGGAAAGCGTCAACCTACATAAAGCCAGCACCCAAAATTTTGGGGTTTCAGCCTCCAACACTGAGGAAAAATAGGTGTGTTAAAGTTGTCCACTTGTGGAATTTCTGTTAGCAACATTTGATAACCAAGGCAAAGAATATTCTCGTCAACCACATAAGAGCCGTCCTAACCCTGGTTCTCAGCTTAACTGCTTAGTTGCAAAATAAAGGACTGCTTCGTGGTGGTTGTTGTTTTTGTTAATGCCATCAAGTCACCTGTGACCCATAGCAACCCTATGTACAACAGCTCTAAATCCTGCATCCTGCTCTATCCTAAGCCAACCTTATCGGCTCTGACACGCCCCCTCCCATTTACCCTAGTCTCTTGACTCAATCCATCTCATCGAGGGTCTTCCTCTCTTTCTCTGTCCCTTCACTCTTCCAAGCATTATGTCCTTCTCCAAGGAGAGGTCCCTCCTTGCAATATGTCCAAAGTATATCAGGCAGAGCTTCAAAATCCTTGTCTCCAAGGAGCAGCCTGGTTTCACCCTCTCCAGGATGAACCTGTTTGTTCTCCTAGCAGTCTATGGTATGTATATTAAATACTCTTCTCCAGTACCACAGTCCAAAGGCATCAATTCTCCTATCATCCCTTGTTATTGTCCAGCTTTCTGATGCATAGTAAGTAACTGTGAAGACCATGGCCTGGATCAGGTGCATCTTAGTCTCCAGAATGACATCACTGTTCTTTAGTACTCTGGCTCTGGAGAGGTCCCTGACAGCAGACTTTCCCAATGCAATTTGTCTTTTGATCTCCTGGATGCTGGTACCAAGAGTGCAGATTGTTAAGAGTGTAGACTGTGGCGACAAGTAAACTAAAGCTGTTAACAATTTCAATCTCTTTAACATCTATCATGATGCTGCCAATAGGTCCAGTGGTTAGAATCTTTGTTTTCTTGATGTTGAGCTTTAATCCATATTGCAGGCTGCAGTCCTTGACCTTCTGCTGCAAGTACTTCAGGTCCTCCTCAGTTTCAGGAAGCAGGGTTGTGTCATCTACATAACACAGGTTGCTGATGATTCTACCTCCAATCCTGATGCCACATTTCTCCTCATTGAGCCCAGCCTCCCAGATGACCTGCTCTGCATATAGATTGAAAAGGTATGGAAATAGGACACATCCCTGGTGTACATCCTTTTCGATTTTAAACCATGAAATGTTTCTCTACTCTGTTCTAATAACTGCCTCCTAGTCCAAGTATAGGTTTCACATAAGCACAATCAAGTGTTCTAGGATTCCCATTTTTTTTCAAAGTTAGCCACCATTTGTTGTGATTCACACAGTCAAATGCCTTTGCATAGTCAATGAAAACAGACATTTCTCTGGTACTCACTGCTTTCGGCCAAGATCCATCTAACATTAGCTATAATATCCCTAGTACCATGGCCTCTTCCAAACCCAGCCTGCACATTTGAGAGTTTTCTGTTGATGTTGCAGTTGTTTTCGGGTAATTTTCAGCAACATCTTGTTTTTATGTGATATTAAGGATATTGTTTGATAATTTCCATACTCTGTTGGGTCACTTTCTTTAGAATGGGAACAAATATGGATCTGTTCCAGTCAGTTGGCCATGGGGCTGTCACGATTTCTTGGCACAACTTGTTGAATGCATTCAGGACAGCGTCTGTTTGTTGGAATATGTCAACTCGTATGGTGTCAATTACTAAGGCCTTGTTTTTTGCCAATTCCTTCAGAGCAGCTTGAACTTTTTCAGCTTCATCACCCACCACAGGCTCCTGTTCATATGTTGTTTCATAAAATTCTTCTGTGCCAGCCAATTCTTTTTGGTACAGGGCCTCGGTACACTCCTTCTATCTTTTTTTAATGCTTCCTGATCATTTAATATTCTGCCCAAAGCATCCTTAAGCATTGCAACTCGAAGCCTCTATTTGTCCTTCAGTTCCTTCAGCTTAAGAAATGTTAAGCAAGTTCATCCCTTTTGATTTTCAGACTGCAGCTCTTTGCACATTTCACTATAATACTTTGCTTTGTCTTCCCACATTGCCATTTGAAATCTTATGTTCAGCTCCTTAATTTCTTGATTTGTTCCCTTTGCTTTGGCTTCTAGGCACTCTAGTGCAATATTCAGAGTCTCATCAGATATCCATCTTGTTCTTTTCTTCCTCCTCTGTCTTTGTAATGACCTTTTTGCATTCTTCATTGATGATATTCTTGATATCCTCCTACAGCTCATCTGGTCTTCTTTCATTACTACTCAAGATCTCAAATCTGTGCCTGCGACGGTTTTGAAATTCAAGTGGAATTAGACTCAAGGTCAGTCACCCTCAAAAAAAGAAGGTTAAGTCAAATCCACAGTAACCAAAATTTGACCTTGAGTCTATCCCTCTTGAATTTCAAAACCATCACAGGAACAGATTTGAGATTTCCTTCATGGAAAAGAGTAAAATAAATTAAAAAAAAAAGATAATTGGGGGTGGGGGGACAGCAACTCCAAAGAAAAGGACAAGAATAGAGAGAGACCCCGTGGGAATGGAGGCACAGCTAGAAGAATGGACTCACGCTGCTGAAAGCACATGCACACACTGCTCTGCTGTGTATTCTCCAACAACAAACTAAATTCTTTTTTTAAAAAAGAAGCAAAAATTAAATAAATTCCTTCTTGTGCTTATTAACAATATTTGCAACTTAAAGGGAAAGGAAGCAATGGGCAGTAGAAGACGTGCTGTTATGAATATTTAGTTTTGTGGTAATCATCTGTATGATGAAGCACTTTCCTTTTATTTAAGTAAAAATTTCTATTTTCTTAGTTTGGCAAAGTACTAACTTATGCAAAATACTGGATAATATGTTTTACAGGTTAAAAATAATTTTCCAGGCCAAAATACATGGTTTTCAATACTAGTTAATATATCATACAAAGTCTTAAAAACTATTCACAGGCACTTTAGCATTACGAATGGACAACAATTTGTAGTTATGAGCCAACTAAGTCTCCATTAAATCTATTAAAAATTCCAAGCAGATCTAATGGTTCCTAACAAACAGCTACTACTTTGTGACACATACCAAGATATTATTTATTATTTATATGTTTCAATGTATTTGGAAGTGGTTCTTTTTTTACACAAGTTGTACTATAAACTAAAACAAATAATTAACTGACTGATTTCCTAACAGTTTCAACATGGATATGAATAAAACTTCAGAATAGAATGCCTTCACAATTGTAAGGACTAGTGACTTTCAAAAACACATTCAATTTCTACTTTCCAGAAATGAGAAAAAGTATTACATAACGTCTTAAAAAGTCTGGGCATATATCCACACCAATAAGAAAATAAATATGTCCCTCTTCAGACTTAAGCTAACACTACGTGTGTTAGGTTTTCTTTTAAAAAAGTCTAAAAAACCTCATTTAGGTAATCTGTTAGAAATATTTGTACGAGAAAAAATGAAAAATATCTATCATTTAAGAATAACTGATTTTCTTCCTGCTTCAAAAAGAGATCATTTAGCTAGTTTCTACTTCCCATGAACAGTTACATAGAGCAAATCCAAGAGCTTTAAAAACCATTCCACATATATCCTGGGTCAATGGTCTGAGTAAAACTGGAAAAATAATATGCTAACAGCTTCCTAATCTTCAATCTAAAAACTAAGGTCAAGTTAATGCTTGACTGAAGGACACTGAAACGCAAGGCTGCTTTAGCTCCATTTAAACACTGTGTGGCGCTGGCGCTTTGATCCAGCGTGAAAACTGCTGCTTTACCTTCAGATTCTATTTCTCAAATTACAGACACACTGAAACGGCATATTGTACCATTGAGAGGCTATTTAATAATTTACTCTGTACTATACAAGCAGATATCTGAACTGGTAGATGAACAGGTAAAAGTCAATTCATTTGTCACAGGTTGCATGAAGTGATATAAAAAAAGAATGGCAACAAAAGAAGATAAATTCCAATTTAAAGGCTTAGAAAAAAGAAATCTATTTTCCTTAAACAGACACTAATGCTCCCGAAAGGCACTGGGGCCACCTCAGCTGGGTGAGTCAGGCTCTATGCTGGCTCTGCCTGGGGGTGTGGCCTCTGACAAGTCACTTAACCCCTAAGCACCAGCATTTTTCATCTGTAGAGTGAAGAAGGCCAGATGAAGGCAATTCTGGGGCCCTAATTTTAACACTGCTCATTGCTCACATACAAGCACTTGTGTTGAAGCAGTACTGAGTGATAAATCTGAGATTTTATGACATCTAATAATTGAAACATTGTTTACATTCTCACTCCCAAGAGTTACTGAAATCACAGAATTGCCTCAACTTTCCATTTTAATATGCCCAAGTGCTTTTGAAAAGCATGGGTACTCAACAAGAACAGGGCTTCCCTGTGACTCCCTCTAGGAGCTGATCCTACGAGACTACTGTAGTCCCAGGGATGCTCTGTCTTCCAGGCTGAGCATGTGCCCACTCTCACTCTTAAGTATCCTCTCCCTTCCACCCTCTCTTTAATGTTATCTATAAATTTCTGGCCACACCCTCATTCACTCAAGACAAGGCCTCCAAGTGATTCTCAAATTGTGGATGACTACCTCTCACAACCCCTCCAAAAGCTCAATTCTTTATTCCAGAGCTTCCTCATCTGATTCAGGTTCACTTCACAGCCAAAAATGCAGTCCTGTCAGCTAGATGAGCCAGACCCCTGAGATCTTAAATTCAAGCATTCAGCCTGAAACTTCAGGGAATTTTTCTTAGTCATTTCCTCACAGTACACCAGCTCTTCATCTGAGATTTCCAGTTTCTTCACCCTGTGTGCTTCTCCTACAGGCCCCTCCTTTCCTCAAGCCTTCCCCATCCAGCTGAGACATCACGCCCCATACTCCAACCTGTCCAGCCTGTCTCCTCCCTGGCCCACTGACTTCGCACTGCATTTGTATGGCAAATCCTCATCTTAGTTCAATCCAACTGCCTGTGTCTTCACTTAAAATTCCAGCTGAACTCCTCCATCAGAAGAATACTGCAGAAAATCACCCCTGGTCTCAGGGTCTCTAATCTTAACTGGCCTTTAGAGTTCAAGGCAGCCTGGTTTCCCTAGCAAACTCTCCAGTTCTCCATAACAACTCCATTATCCTCTTGAGGAGGACTTTGTCTCTTGCCTCAGGGAAAAGAAATCATTTCAGTTGAGCACTCCCTCAACTGGCTCCCACAAAACTCACAAATTTACCTGCTCTGGCATCAGTTTTCTTTCCGGCCTGTTACAATGGACAATGGTGCTCATTTCTAGGAGGCCTCTTGTTTCCAGGGGGGGGGGGGGCACCTTCCCAGGGGCCCCAGTCTATCAAGTATTCCCTCTCTTCCTTCTATTTTTAGCCCTCTGCTCTCCCAACTCCTTCCCACATCCACATGAAAACAAACAATACAAACCCTGGCACAGACCTTCCATTTTCAAGCAAAACTTCCCTTCCCTCGGACAGTGACAGTGAGGCTGTCCTCACTGTCGCCACGTTCTTACCTCTCACTGGCCCCTCAACCTGCCTCTCTCTGAATGATGTGAAACTTTTCCAAGCAATCCAACACACACAGTAACTTAGTTGTTGTTAGTATTAAGTGCCGTTGAGTTGTAGATGACTCAAAGCGACCTTATGAACAAAAGACCTGAGCAGCACTGTTCATAGAGTTTCTGGAGGCAAGTCATTTTGGAAGTGGATGCCACTCCTGCTTCCAAACTTGTTTTAATCGGGAAGCTCCAGCAAACACTGTCCACCTTGGGTAACCATTATCACATTTGGCACATCAGTGTCACAGTGTTTAGTATCACAGCAACCACGAGTTATCTCTGTACAGCAATGCACAGACCAGTGCTATACCACCTTGAGCTTGGAAGCATTTAGGAATCATAAAATGCTAGATACCATTGTCCCTGCCAGGACGTTCATGACGAAGGAAGAATTGAACTTCACTCCTCTTACTCCCAAACCGCTGTAGGACATCAAACATCCGCTCACTGTCGGCCACTGGGCGCTCTAGAAAAAAAGAACATCAATCATTTTACTGTAGATAAAAGGAGGACAAACATCATCTACCACTTACATTTCATGCAAATTATTGTTGTTCGTGGTAGTGTTGTTGGTGTTATGTGCCGTCAAGGAACCTGAGACTCATCGCGACCCTATGTACAAGAGCCCTAAACCTTGCCAATCTTAATGTCTCTGACACACCTACCCCATTACCCCAGTCACTCAATCAATCCATCTAATCAGGGGTCTTAGTCTCCTGCGCTGTCCCTTCACCCTTCCAAGCGTAACATCCATCTCCAAGGACTGGTCCCTCCTTGCAATATGTCCAAAGTATGTCAGACTAAACTTCAGAATCCTTGCCTCCAAGAAGCAGCCTGGTTTAACCTCCAGGACGAACCTGTTCATTCTCTTAGCAGTCCATGGTTTATTCAATACTCTTCTCCAGCACCACAGCTTAAAGGCATCAATTCTCCTATTATCATCCCTAGTCATTGTCCAGCTCACTGACGCATAGCAAGTGATTGCAAAGACCATTGCCTGTATCAGGCGCACCTTACTCTCCAGACTGACACTGTTGTTCTTCAGTACTCTGGAGAGGTCTCTGGCAGCAGACTTTCCCAACGCAATACATCTTTTAATTTCCTGGCTGCTGGTGCCAAGAGTGTTGACTGTGGAGCCAAGCAAACTAAAGCAGTAAACAATTTCAAACTCTTCACCATCCATCATAATACTGCCAATCAGCCCAGTGGTGAGAATCTTTTTTTCCTTGATATCGAGCTTCAATCCATATTTAAGGCTTCAGATCTTGATCTTCTGCAGCAAGTGCTTCAGGTCCTCCTCAGTTTCAGCAAGCAGGGTTGTGTCATCTGTATAATGCAGATTGTTGATGAATCTTCCTCCAATCCTGATGCCACACTTCTCCTCATAAAGCCCAGCAAAAGGTATGGAGACAGGACACATCGCTAGCATACACTCTTCCCAATTTTGAAAGATGCAGTGTTCCCTTGCTCTGTTCTGACGACTGCCTCCTGGTCCAAGTATAAGTTTCGCATTAGAACGATCAAGTGTTCTGGGATTCCCATTTTTCTCAGAGTCAGCCACAGTTTATTGTGGTCCACGGAGTCAAATGTCTTTGCATAATCAATGAAACACAGATAGACGTATTTCCTGTTTTCAGCCAAGATCCATCTAACATTAGCTAGAATATCCCTAGTACAAATTACTCAATATATACTATTAGGGAATACTTGGAATTTTTTTTCTCCCCATTACAAGACTTCTTACAACTCCTTTTTTTTTTGGTTCATCACTCACTTGACCCAGAAAATCCTACAAAATCACGCAAATCAAAAGGCTCAAGTCTCTGGGTCCATTCTAAGAACACCCAGGAAACTGCCTAGGCTATCAAAGGAACACGAACATATCCAGAGAGCCACCAAGTATCTGAAAGACGCTCCTTTGCAAAAGCAGTGTGTGTCATTCTGACATTATAATGGCCATCTATAGGCATGCACAAGCCAAATAGTGGAGTGGTCAAGCGTCTATGGCCAAAGGGTGCTGAGTTTTTGCTGCATGTGCTGAAAAATGCCAAGTGCAAAGCTGAACTTAACGATTTGCATGTCAGTTCTTTGGACACTGAGCACATGAGGGGAACCAAACTTTCAAGACACACTGCAGTATGTAGAGAGTTCACAGTCCGATTAACCCCTATGTGAGCTCCCCCACCATACTGAGAGGGTCCTTACTGAACAGGAACAGACTGCTGTTGAATCAGAAGAGGAGGCTGAATAGAAGAGTAAGATTTTCCAGAAGCAACTGAAGAAACAAAAGCTTACAGCTCAGGAGTAAATGTTCAGGGTTAAATAAACTTCAGGTTAAAAAAAAAAAGACACAAATACACCAATGTTCATAGTAGTGTTATTCACAATAACAAGAAAATGAAAACAGCTCAAATGCCATTAACTAATGAATGCATTGAGAAATTGTGGTACATTCACATGAAAGAACACTATGCAGTACTCAGCAGCAAAGATTTAGAAAAATACTACAACATGGGAGGGAGAGGCCAGAGAGCATGATGCTGAGTGAACTAACACAGTCTCACAAGAATAAATATTGCATAAGACCATTATTATAAAAATGGATGGATAGTTGGTAAGTTGTGGATCCAAGTCCAAAACGAAAAAGAGAGGGGCAGGGGCCTAAGGGTAGAGAAGAGGGAAATAACAGAGTCACACAGTTTGATGGGTAGAGGGAGGGAGTGAATGAATTAGAAAAGATCCAGTGGGGATCTGAAAAGATAACGTAATAGTGGTCATAGATCAATGGTGATTAATTTTATAAAACACAATGTTTGCTAATGATTGTATGAAATATTTTAAGAATGAAGAAATGTGTGAAACACAATGTGTATGAATTCTGTATGCAAAGCAATATTAAGAAAAAAAACCTCAAACAAATCCTTAGGAAGTGAAGCATTATAAATTCTCCATCCATAAACAGCATTAAAACAGGGAAAAAGTAATGGAGAAAGCGAAGCAGGTGTGGGCAGCACCAGGAGTGCAGGAGTCTGGGCATACACATCTCTTCCCAACTGTCTAGTCAAAAGCATACTTTTTATTGTCTTTCAGTTACAAAACTTTTCTGTTGTCTAAGAGAATTGTGAAATTCTCTTGCTTATAGAGCAAGTGAGGTAACTCGTGGTTGCTGTGATGCTAAACATTGGGACACTGATGTGTCAAATGCGATAATAGTTACCCATGGTGGACAGTGTTTGGTGGAGCTCCCCGATTAAAACAAGCTTGGAAGCAGGAGTGGCATCCACTTCCAAAATAGCCTGACTCCGAAACCCTATGAACTTGGAAAAAAGACGAAAGTTATACAAGTGTTCAGGTCTTTCGTTCATAGGGTCTCTATGAGTCACCGACAATTCAATGGCATTTAACAACTCCTCTTGAAATAAAACAGAAATTGTTGTTGTTGTGAGATGCCATCGAGTCAGTGTTAACTCACAGTGGCCTAATGAGCCATCCTCAAAATCTGAGATGAGAGGAAGAGATTTCTTCACACTCAAGAAATTAAAAAAAAAAAAAAAAAGGAACCTAGAACTCTCACTACACAGTCCCAGTGACAAGAGTATGAACATCCAGAGGGCGGGTCCTGGGGAGAATGTGTCCACCAAACCATGTGGTGAAGTCCTAGGTCTAGCACCAGTTCCCAGAACTGGGTCTTTAATGATATTGTATTTCTTTAATTATATTAACGAGAATCTGATTAGGTAGTCAATCTAATCACTTCTAAGAGATGTAAGATAGAATAAAGAAAAACAGACACAGAAACACTGGGAGGAAAAATACCACCAAGAAGCATCAGAAATTCTGAGGGTACAGGAGCTGAAGCCCTGAAATTTACTTCTGGCCTCAGTAGTAACTGTGATACAATACACTCTCGTTCTCTGATGCTACCCACTTAAAGTAGTTTTTGCTACAGCAGCACCAGGCAACTAAAGTGGTCCTCATAGCCCTACAAGGCATTCCTACTGGTATAGAGGTGTAAGGTATTAGGCTGCTAACCAAATGGTGAGTAGTTTGAATCCACAAGGTGTTCCACCACAAAGAGAATGGCAGAAAGAAGTCTCCTATAATCCATCACAATCTCTGAAGCTTGATGGTGGGTCCCAGGGGTCGGGCTCAACTGGACAAAAAAGGGAGTTTAAAGGCCCTGCGCTGACAAATGGTCAGCTTGGGCTTGACAAGCTAAAGCAGATAGTTCAAAGCTCTCAAAGGAGAGCTTCTTCTCAGCCCATGAAGAGGAAGAGGAATCATTCAGAAAACAGAGTAACAGAGACTAAAAGAACAGAGTACATAATAATAGGAAAGATAGCAAGGAGATCTGAGTAAGTTTACAAAAATTTTTAAATCTGAAAGTCATTAGAAAGGAAAGGGAAAATTAGACAGCCAATTAGATACAGCTGAAAACTGGTAAAATGAAAAATTAGCAGAATCAACTAGAATGACGCACAGTGAAGTAATTTTTTTTAAAAATTAAAGGCTGCACACCCATGTTTATTGTGGCTTTGTTTACAATAGTAAGGAAACAACCTAAGTGCCCATGAACAATGAATGGATAGAGAAGGTGTGGTATATCCACACAATGGAATACTATGCTGCATTGAAAAACAAGGAACTCATGCAATATTATTCAAAATGGTTGACCCTGGAGGACATTATGCTGAGTGAAATATCTCAGTCACAGAAGGACAAATACTGCATGGTGCCACTGTTGTAAAATAGGACTGACCTTGGGGTTGGGGGGAGAGTGAGAAAGATGGGTTCAATAATGTATACAGCATTGAAACAGATGAGGGAGAAAACTGTTTAAAAGGGATATGTGATTAGGTATTTTTGTTATGATAGGAGTCCAGAGCGAAGGCTGCACAGTGGATTGGACCTGGAGGGAGGAATTGTAAAACAATGAAATAATTTGTCTTTTACTTTTCCAAGAGGGTAGAGTACTAGGGGGGAGGGATGGGAGGGGAGAAAAGTGCAACAATGATTGAATGGAAATTGAAAGTCTCTATAAATTTTCATTGAAATTAATAATAAATTTTTTAAAAATTAAAGGCTAGGTAGCATATACATAAAACAGAAAGAGAGGTTCCAGTACATATCAGGATCTATCTCCCCAGAAAGGGAGATAAGAGTTAAGCAATGAAAACTTTCCACAAATACTGACCGACCAAGTACTGTTCCAGACATGAAAACACAACATTAAGCAACACAGATTTTTTTTAAAAAGCCCTTTTTCCGTTAGAAAAGACAGATAAAAAACAAGATAATTAAAATGAAAGGTATTACCAGTCAGCAGTAAGTGCTATAAGAAATAAAGGGGACAGAAAATGTCAGTAAAAGTTGCAAATATGACAAAGTAACTAGAAAGGGTCACAAGAAGAAAGTATTGTTTTAAGAAAGAGACAGTATGAAAATGAGCCATGTGATTACCCAAAGAGTATTCCTATAGAGAGAAGAGCAAGTTCAGACACTAAAAAATGGGAAGAGTACTAGGTTTGGGGAAGCAGTGGGACAAGCACAGCCAGAGGTGCAAAAGCAAGAACATATAGAACTGAGGTTACAGTGAAAGAAGGATGCTGGCCCAAAGAAGCAATTTAAGCAGGGCTTTGGGGAACTTCCAGGTGGCACAGACAGGACTATGGTGAGATTCCTTGAGTCATGGACAACCCATGCCAAAACCAGAAGTCACGCTCTTCAGTAAGGCTGTTGTTGTTATGTGCCATAGAGTCGCTTGTGACTCATAGCAACCCTATGAAGGAAGGAAGGAAAGGAAGAGGGAAGGAAAGGAGGAAGGGGGAAGGGAAGGGAAGGGAAGGGAAGGGAAGGGAAGGGAAGGGAAGGGAAGGGAAGGGAAGGGAAGGGAAGGGAAGGGAAGGGAAGGGAAGGGAAGGGAGGACAGAAAGAAGGAAAGGAGGGAGGGATGAAAGGGAGGGCGGGAAGGGAAGGAGGGAGGAAGGGGGGTAAGGGAGGAAGGGACAGGAGGGCAGGAAGGGAGGGAAGGGACTGGAGGGGAGGGAGGAAGGAATGGAAGAAAGGGAGGGGAGGGCGGCAGGACAAGGAAACAAAACCTGTCAAATGGGGAAACAACATCCTCTTCAACAAATGGTGCTGGCAAAACTGAACTCCAAGACATATTATTTTGTTGTTGTTGTTTTGTATCATCAAGTCACCCGTGACTCATAGCAACTCTATGTACAACAGCTCTGAGGACTGCCCTGTCCTGAGTCGATCTCACTGACTCCAACACACTACCTCCACTGCCCCAGTTTCTGTATCAATCCTTTCATTTGGGGTCTACCTCTCCCATGCCAGCCCTCCACCCTTCTGTGCATATTTCCTTCTCCAAGGGCCAGTCCCTCCTGGCCACGTGCCCAAAATATGCGAGATGAAGCTTCAAAATCCTAGCCTCCAAGGACCTATTTGTTTTCTTGACCTTGATATGTTCAAGACTCTTCTCCAGCACCACAACTCAAAGGCATAGATTCTTCTTCGGTCATCCTTAGTCATTGTTCAGCTCTCTGAGATACAGCAAGTAACTGCAAAGACCAAGGACTGGATCAGGTGTTCCTTAATCTCTGGACTGACATTCTTGCTTTTCAGCACTCCAGAGAGGTAACTGACAGCAGATTTTCCCAGTTCAATTAGTCTTGATTTCATGACTGCTGGTGCCAAGAGTGTTGATCAAGCAAGCTGTAATTGTTAACAAATTCAATCTCTTCTCCATCTATCACAGAGCTGTCAATTGGCCAAGTGGGGCCAATTTTTGTCTTCTTGATGTTGAGCTTTAATCCATATTGAAGACTGTAGTCCTTAACCTTCTGCAGCAAGTGCTTCAGGTCTTCCTCAGTTTCAGCAAGCAAGGTTGTGTCATCTGCATAACGCAGGTTGTTCTCTACCTCCATTCCTGATGTCACATTTCTCCTCATGAAGCCCAGCATCCCAAATGATCTGTTCCACATAAATATTGAAAAGGTATGGAGACAGGATGCATCCCTGATGCACTCCTTTCCTGATTTTGAACCATGCAGTGCTTTTCTCTACTCTGTTTTGAGGACTGCCTCCTGGTCCAGGCATAGATTTCACATAAGCACAATCAAGTGTTCTGGGATTCCCATTCTCCTAAAGGTTAACCACAATTTGTTATGATCCATACAGTCAAATGTCTTTGCATAGTAAATGAAACGCAGGTAAATATTCCTCTGGTTCTCTCTGCCTTCTGCCAAGATCTACATAAGAAGACATATTTACAGTCTATTCATTTCTTCATTCAGTAAACATTTGTTAAACATCTATTGGAAATTCAGGTAGTCTCCCTGTGTTGATGATATAGCAAGGCAGAGTCCATGGGTGGTGCAGGTAACACATGCAGCTACTGATGGAAAGGTCGAAAGCTCAAGTCTACTCAGATATACTTAGAAAAAAAGACGTAGCAACTGATTTCCAAAAACTTGGGCACTCAAAACCATACAGCGTTAAGAGTTCTCTCCCATGAGTCAGAGCTAACCTGGGGGCAAATGGTTTGGCTTTTGACTAGTCTTAAAGGGTTTTATATTCTAATATATATGTTTAGGTTTAAAGAGATTAAAGAGGCAATAAACCAGTAAGCATATGAAAATCAAACAATATTCTTTACATCATGAAACAATGCAGGAGATGTGTTAGGGAAGTGCATAGCTATTTCACACAAGTACTCAGGGAAAGCCTCTCCAAGCACGTCATCGATCTAGCTAAAATCCAAGTGACCAGAGTGCCACAGTGAGGAAAGTCTACCAAGAAATACAAACAATAAGACGGTCCGTATCCACCTAATGCAGAAGACAGGTGCACAACACAGCAAAGGAGAAAATCAGCATCCCAGTGACTGTACAGGACTTCACAGCATCACACAGGGAGCTGGGAGGAGTCATTAAAATAAGCTTCAAGAGTGAAATGATCGAATTCTCACTTTCTAAAGATTGCGTGGCTTCTTCATGCAATCTTGGCTCCCATGGGGAGGGAAAAGTCAGTCAGTCATTTAAGGGGCAAGAGTAGAACACCTTCCAGAACATCCAACTGGAGGAGAGGCCACCAGCGGGATGAGTAGGGTTTGCCTGTTAAGAAGCAAGGCTCTGCTGAAGTGAGAGAGATCATGAATGGTGTGAGTCCAATTAACACTGTGGGTAATGCACTCTACAACGTACGGTGCCCTGGAGGAGAAAAAAGGAAGCGGGGGCTTCAGGTGTCACCTCAGTGCAGAGGAGCAAGGCAGAAACTTTGAGTATGTGACAAGCCCGAGAGGCCAAAAAAGTAAGCAGGTGAGCACTTTTTTTTTGAGAGCTCCACAGAACTGTCCTGAGGGCTGCTCTCAAGTGTAAAATTAGGTCTATGAGTGCCTTACTTTCTTCTGCTATGGAGCTCATCCACAAAGAGCCATTTCCTCTAAAAACCTATGAAATCTTAGAGAGGAAAACAATCAAGATGGCTCAGATTTCTAATTAAGTAGACCGAATCTAAGCATCCAAACTCTATGGATCAATTACACTTCACACACAGAGTCAGCAGGAGTCAAAACTGATTAAGTGGTAACTAACAACAACTCCGAGAAGAATGGGAATCCCAGAACACTTGATTGTGCTAATGTGAAACCTATACTTGGACCAGGAACCAGTCATTAGAACAGAGCAAGGAAACACTGCACAGTTCAAAATTGGGAAGGGTGTATGCCAGGGACGTGTCCTATCTCCATACCTCTTCAAGCTATATGCAGAACAGATTATCCGGGAGGCTGCGCTTTATGAGGACTGTGGCATCAGAACTGGAGGAAGAATCATCAACAACCTGTATTATACAGATGATACAACCCTGCTTGCTGAAACTGAGGAGGACCTGAAGCACTTGCTGCAGTAGGTCAAGGACTGCAGCCTTCAAGATGGATTGAAGCTCAATATCAGGAAAATAAAGATTCTCACCACTGGGCTGATTGGCAGCATCATGATGGATGGTGAAGAGATTGAAACTGTTCACTACTTTAGTTTGCCTGGCTCCACAGTCAACACTCTTGGCACCAGCAGCCAGGAAATTAAAAGACATATTGCATTGGGAAAGTCTGCTGTCAGAGACCTCTCCAACGTACTGAAGAGCAATGATGTCAGTCTGGATGGAGAGTAAGGTGCGCCTGATACAGGCTATGGTCTTTTCAATCTCTTGCTATGCATCAGAGAGCTGGACAATGACTAGGGATGATAGAAGAATTGACGCTTTTGAGCTGTGGTGCTGGAGAAGAGTACTGAATATACCATGGACTGCTAGGAATACAAACAGGTTTGTCCTGGAGAGGGTTAAAAAAGCCTGCTCCTTGGAGGCAAGGATTATGAAGTTTCATCTGACATACTTTGGACATGTTGCAAGGAAGGAGAGAGGTATAATGCTTGTGAGGGTAGAGGAACAGCTCAGGAGAGGAAGACACTTGATGAGATGGATTGATTCAGCAACTGGAGTAATGGGAATAGGTACGTCAGAGACAATAAGATTGGCACAGGATAGAGTAGGGTTTAGGGCTGTTTGTTGTACATAGGGTCACTATGAGTCACAGGCAACTCAACAGCACTTAACAACAACAATAACAAAAAGTGTACAGACATACTTCAGAGCACCCTGATAACCCCAGAAGCCTCCAACTGAGTCCAGCTTCCACCCGTTCTATGAAATGAGCCACCAGTCATTTCACTTTAGGGGGAAAAAAAGACCAAGAGCCTGTGGAACCACTCAAAGCTGGATCGCGGACATGCTTGGACATCTCCATGGATGAGCCTGAACTTCATACACAGTGTCACTTGCCTATACCAAAGACAAACAAAGGTGGCCCCAGGAGAGTACATGTTAGGCTGCACGTCCTACCAGAGCCACACCACACTTCAGCCAAGTGGCAATCGCTCTCGCCGGGTTCTTTGCACAGATCCACCACATCTCTGCAGATGGTTTCCGGCGTCACTGGAACTTCGGTGAAGTGCTGCTCATTATTACTAAGGTACACAGTCAGGAACATCTGAAAGCAAAGACAGACACCAGTTACTAGCAACTCATGCACTGGCCAGTCTAATGTTTTATTCTCCTTCAACTCCCTTCTCCAAAACAAATCTCCTCAGCTGGCAGCACAAACGGGAACAACCAAATAGTTTGGCACCTCTCCCTGAAGGGCAGGGATCTGAAGTCCTGCCAACCAATGTCTGTTTCCTTCCGCACAAGGGCTGCCTGCAGAATCCTGGGGACCTAGGGACACAATAAACCAGGTTACATAAAAGTGCACATGGTGTCCTGTCCAGTTTCACTTATCTCTTTACCATCTTATTACAGTTGTTAGTATGTGTCATCCTGTACATAAAAAAGCCTTTTTGTCCAGTCTCTACAATGCTGGAGATAAATACAGCTGCTTCTCTAAAATACACATGACAACAGCAATCGCTTCCAAAGAGGGTCAATGAGGAATGGGGGAGGGAATTTGTGGGGAAATTGAACTTTTCTATCATGTACATATATTATCGATGTAGGAGCTCTGGTATAAGCTGTAAGGAGCTTACTCAAATGCAGTGCCTCTCTGGCAGCTCAAATCCACCAGCTGCTCTGCTGGAGAAAGATGGGCAATCTCCTACGCAATTTACAGCCTCCAAAACCCCACTGGAGGGTCAGCTATGAGTTGCCTCTAACTTGACAGCAGTATGCTTGTTATTTCCAAAATATAATCTATACTTAAAATAGTATATTGAAACCTGAAACATTTTAATTAAAAATGAACTTAAAAAACATTAACCTTGTGAAAGTAAGACTGACCAGTTATTAAGCTAATGCTTACCTGGTGTTAGACATAAACTATTCATACCAACAGGAAGACTGAAACTTAAAACTCATTAGCACTCTTTCTCCCAGTGAAAACACTGTACTTTAAAACCATGGTTATGAAAGAATTCATGTTTTCATACCAATTGAGTTAAACAAAACAAAACAATAACAAACAACAAACCCAAACACAGCCATCTCCAATGTGTTAAATCCGAACACACAAAATTGAACAAAACAGTAAATGAATTTTCTTTGGCAATGAAATTAGTAAACACTTTTGGTCATTCAGTTCAGTATGTATTGACTCTGTGCATAACAAACCAAATAATTAGAGAGTAATCTTATCATGACAATACATCCTGTGAAAATAATTCCAAATATTTTAAAAAAGAGAATTTAAAGATAAGGAACCTAAATTCACAGATGATACTGTCATTTCTAGATGTCGCTGAGTATACTACAACTCATAGCAAGTGAACAACAGGCGTGAACCTTGCCCTAATAGCAACATCCTCACAATCTGTCATCTTCAGGTCCACCATGTGTCCATTTGTGTCATGCTATAGAGCCCACCGTGTTTCCACGTGTGTCATGCTAGACTCCATCGTGTATCCAAGTGTGTCATGCTAGAGTCCACTGTGTGTCCACGTGTGTCATGCTATAGAATCCATCGTGTATTCACGTGGGTCATGCTATAGAGTCCACCGTGTCCATGTGTGTCATGCTATAGAGCCCACCATGTCCATGTGTGTCATGCTACAGAGCCCACTGTGTCCATGTGTGTCATGCTAGAGTCCATCGTGTATCCACGTGTCATGCTATAGTCCATCGTGTATCCATGTGTGTCATGCTATAGAGTCCACTGTGTGTCCACGTGTGTCATGCTACAGAGTCCACTGTGTCCACGTGTGTCATGCTAGAGTCCACAGTGTGTCCACGTGTTTCATGCTATAGAGTCCATTGTGTGTACACGTGTGTCATGCTATAGAGTCCACTGTGTGTCCATGTGTGTTATGCCATAGAGTCCACTGTGCCCATGTGTGTCACGCTAGAGCCCATCGTGTCCACATGTATCATGCTATAGAATCCACCGTGTGTCCATGTGTGTCATGCTACAGAGTTCATTGTGTGTCCACGTGTATCATGCTATAGAATCCACCGTGTGTCCATGTGTGTCATGCTATGGAGTACACTATGTGTCCGTGTGTCATGCTATATAGCCCACCATGTCCATGTGTGTCATGCTATATAGTCCACCATGTGTCCATGTGCCATGCTCTATAGTTCACTGTGTGTCCATGTGTCATGCTTTATAGTCTACCGTGCGTGCCATGTGTGTCATGCTATAAAGTTCACCATGAATACCATGGGTGTCATGCTCCAGTCCACCACCACATCTATTTCTTTTTTTTTAGGTCTTCCTCTCTTTTTCTGACCCTCCACATTTCCCACCATCATGTCTCTTCCCAAGGATTGGTAACCCTAGTAAGTGAGATGAAATTTCATCATCCTGTCCCAAAGGAGCGCTCTTGGCAACACCACAATTCAGGGTGATCTATTCTTTCCTCACTGTCCAACTTTCAGATCCACAGAAGCAAATGAAAAAACCATGACTTGGATGAGCTATGCCTTTGTCTTCAAACTGACATCCTAAGCTTCAGGACTCTGAGGAGGTCTCTAATAGCAGGTTTTCTTAAGGCAACACATCCTTTGAAATTTTTATTTCATCAATAAAAGTTGTTGATGAGTCTTCCACCAATCTTGAGGCCATATTCTTCGTCATATAGCATCCAGCTTCTTAAATTATTTGGTCAACAAACAGACTAAACAGGTATGGAGAAAGGATACAATCCCGAACCACATCTTTCCTGACTTACAACCATGCTTTTAAATATTTTCTGTTTAAGATTCTCACCACTGGACCAATTGGCAGCATCAGGATGGATGGTGAAGAGATTGAGATTGTACACAGCTTTAGTTTGCTTGGCTCCATAGTCAACAGTCTTGGCACCAGCAGCCAGGAAATTAAAAGGCACACTGCCATGGGAAAGACTGTTGTTAGGGACCTCTCCAAAGTGCTGAAGAGCAATGGTATCTCTTTGGAGACTAAGGTGTGTCTGATACAGGCCATGGTCTTCGCAATCACCTGTTATGCATCAGAGAGTTGGACAATGACCAAGGAGGATAGAAGGAGAACTGATGCCTTTGAGCTGTGGTGCTGGAGAAGAGTATTGAGAATACCATGGACTGCTAGGAAAACAAACAGATTTGTCCTGGAAAGGGTTAAACCGGGTAGCTCCTTGGAGGCAAGGATTCTGAGGCTCCGTCTAACATACTTTGGACATGTTGTGAGGAGAGACCGGTCCTTGGAGAGGGACATCATGCTTGGGTGGGTTGAGGGACAGCGCAGGAGAGGAAGGCCCTCTATGAGGTGGATTGATTCAGTGACTGGGATAATTGGGATGGGAGTGTCAAGAGACAGTGCGATTGGCACAGGACAGAGAGGAGTTTAGGGCTGTTGTACATAGGGTCGCTATGAGTCGCAGGCAACTCGACAGCACATAACAACAACAACACAGTGTTCTATTCAGACAACTGCTGTTTAGTCTGTATATAGATTTTACATGAGCAAAAGAGGTATTCTGAAAATCCCATTCTTCTATTATCCACAATTGGTTACGATCCACAGTCAAATGCATTTGCATAGTCAACGAAACACAGGCAGATATCTTTCCAGTATTCTCTGCTTTCAGGCAAGAGCCATCTGGCATCAGCAATGATATCACTGGTGCCATATAGCCTTTTCTAAATTTCTTATAAATTGAATTTCTGTCAGTTTTCAGTCAATAAACTGTTTCACTTCACTTTCCACAATCTTCCACAAGCTTGTACTTGCACTTTCTATTAATGATACTATTTGATAATTTCTGTACTCTATTGGATCACCTTTTCAGGGAATGGGAACAAACATGAATCTCTTCCAGTCAGCTGGCCAAGTAGCTAGTTGTCTTTCAAATTTCTTGGTAGACTAGTAAACACGTATAAAACGGCATATTTCCTTGAAGCCCTTAAACTGGCATTCCATCAATTCTTGGGGCCTTAGTTAATAAGGATTAACTAAATTAATTCCACCATGCTCCTTTTCCTGACAAATTACAACATGGTTAGTGTTGGCAGTAAATAATCTATGTTTTAGTATTAAATGACGTGTCTCTTCCCCATACTCCTCATGTCCAACTAACCTTTCTTTGAAGTTTATAGCTTCAAAAACAGTAATTGTTTACAATAGCATAAATGGCAAGCAAATGAGCGGGTACCACTTCTACCTTTCCCTAAATCACTGGTTCTAAAAGTTAGTCTTGAATCCATATGGTATGGTTTCTCTGTTGGACTACCGTGAGGATACATGATTTCTCTAAGGATGGTTTAGAAATGGAGAAATGTTAAAAAATTTTCCTAACTGGCTCCTGCTATTCACTGACATACCAGTATCTAGACAAAAAAGACTGATAGCATCTTGAGCTCTTAATTTAATTCTGACCTTGATTTATTTGGAGAGGAGGCATTTTTAAAGGGAAAAAATATCATAAGTTGTCTAAAAATAAAATGTATCAAAACTTACTTGTTATTAAAGGCCACCGAGTCACCTGCAACTCAGTGACCCTCTGTACAGCAGCTCTGAAGCCTGCCCTGTCCTGTGCCAGTCCCAATGACTGACACACCTACCCTCATTACCCATTACTGTATCAATCCATGTCATCTGATGTCTTCCTTTCCTGTGCTGTCCCTCCACCCTTCCATGTTCTTCCTCCAAAGATCGGTCCCTCCTGGCCATGTGCCCAAAGTACGTGAGGCAGAGCTTCAAAATCCCTGCCTCCAAGGAGAAAACTGGTTTCCCTCTAAGACAGACCTATTTGTTTTCTTGATGATCCATGGTATGTTCAAGACTCTTCTCCAGCACCACAACTCAAGGCATTGATTCTTCTTGTTATCTTTAGTCATTGTCCAGCTCTCTGATGCATAACAAGCGAGTAATTGTGAAGACCATGGCCTGGATAAGGCACACCTGTCTCTTGACTGACACTGTTGCTTTTCAGCACTCTGTGGAAAAGTCCCTGATAGCTGACTTTCCCAGTGAAATCTGTCTTTTGATTTCCTGACTGCTGGTGCCAAGAGTGTTGACTGCGGAGCTGAGCAAGCTGTAACTGT